TGGAAAATTATGTACTGTTATAAACAAAAAAATATTTCAGTTTTGAAAATCTTATATTTACATATAATTTATTTATTTAATTTCAAATTTGTAAAGTCGAGTTAAACCTTGCCTGATTAAGAAAATATTTTTCCAGTTAAAACAGTACATAAAATAATTAATAAATCTGTACCAGTAACTAGTCAAGTAGTAGCAAGATTTACATGTAAGGGCATATTTGGGCCTATATGTATGCATTTTCACAGCATGACGTTATGTTATGTGCATGAAATAAATGCTGCTCACTTAAAGTCCTATAGTAAGACAAATTATCTTGCATTCAATGGATGAAGGTCAAATTGCAATAATTCGATGGGCGGGCACAGTAACATGACAGAATACATCAGTATCATCATTAATAATCATTTCAAGTAATCCTGTATGAGCATTCTTACTTTATATACATTTGATTTATCATTTCATAAATATCAAATTTTCTAAATTGGTGAAAGAAAGATAGGTTGCCAAACATACGCCCACAACAGCTAAGTCGTCTGGGCAGTCAACAACGGCTGTTGCATATTTTTTCTTTAGTCAGTAAGGAGAATGTTTACAACACAAAAATCTTATGAGTAATAACCCATTAAGTAATTTTCAGAAATCAATAGAAATCATTAGAATTTGCTTCGATTGTTTGCCTCATGACCTTGAACAATTTATATTAACCTTAAGTCTCTAGAGCGTCTACAATATTTTTCAAAGTGATCAAGGGCAATAACTCTGCAAGTAATTATCAGAAATAGTTGAAAATCAATAGGCTTCATCGTCCCATTACCCTAAACAATGTGTATACATTTAAAGTGAATCTGATATCAACTTTAGCCTCCAGACCATCTACAAGATATGTCAAAGTGATCACGGGCCATAACTCTGGCAGTAATTATCAGAAATTGCCAAAAATCAATAGGATTCTTCGTCTCATGACCTTAAACACAGTATATCAATTTAAAGTCAATTGAATATTAACTTTAGCCTCTAGAGTCTCCATACGATTTTATCAAGTGATCAAGGGCCATAACTCTGGTAGTAATTATCGGAAATCTCTGAAAATCAATAGGCTTCTTCGTCTTGTGACCTTAAACACCGTATAAATTTAAAGTCAATCGGATATTCCCTTTAGCAATTGTTGACACCGGACCGACAGACCAATGACAATATACGACCACATTTCAATGTGGGCGTATAAAAAATAATCAGTGTAGCTTACAATACAATGTGCATGTACCACTACATGTACTTTAGTACTGTGTAAAATTAATGGCGTTGAGTACTCTAAAATGCACATTTAAAAGCTAGTACTAAGTTTTGTTCATAAGATATGACATTTTTGTTATTTGGGGTGATAAACTGCAATCATCAAAAAGTTCAAAAACCAATTTCATTTACTATGTACTGCAACAGAAAAATTCAATCCCGAGTAACTGATACAAATGGTCTATCTACTGTATACCTTAACTGGTCATCTCTACTCGAGGCAGACAAACATTGTAAAGAACTCATCAAATGTGGTTGCCAAAATGTCTGCCAGCCACCTTGTAAATGCATGGTAGCTTTATTATCATGTAATAAACTTTGCACCAGCGATGGAACTTGTTATCAAATGTGACCAATAAAAGAATGAGTATGGTGGGCGAATTTTCAAGTTAGCTGACCCTCCCGTTCAACTGTATTTGCTCTGTTTATTCAAGTTTACAATCTCATCAAGTTAACTAGTAATCTAGAAATCATTTATTATCGTTAATGTGTGAATGTCGATTTCAGCCGTTTTCTAGTGAAGTTTGGAGCATGAAGGTCAATATGTGTATTTTCGGTAACTAAAGATGACAATATGATAATAAAAGCACTGCTGGTAAATTCAGTGGGTGCTAAAACATTAATTACGACGCTTAGATAAAGTTTCTATAATATCGAGAAGCCAAAATCTCATACTCATACATGTATTTCGGTAGCGGCCAAAAATAGGGTCAGATCGCGCGTGTCCTGCTGTTTCCTGCTTTTATTTGAAAGAGAACATCAAAAACTACCTATATATGCCAATTTTCATGCTTTTGTCAAAAAGTGAACGATTCTATGAAAATATCGACCTAAGCGACTGGACTACACAACAAGTTTTAAAATACAACAATTTGGATGTAAAATGTAAATATTTATTTCAGTACACTACTCCGACGCACTCAAAATGATATTATGCATTACGAAAGGGGTAGTCTTTGACCATCAAAAAAAGAAATCTAAAAATGGTCCAGTCGTGGTAATTGCATTGTAGAGGGAATTTCCTCTAATGACCTGGTCACATGACTTAATTGGGATATGCCATCCAGTGTGAAATTGTTGCTGGAGCAGCCATGATTTGTTTACTGCGGATCACATGACTTATATGCAAGACGTCATAATTTATTCAACAACTGATCTACATGTAGGTCGGGGACATCTTCTTGTTTGCTATAAATAGTTTATTTCTTTCCGCGTGTATCTCCATTATACACAACAAACGTTTGGGCGGTTAGTGTATGTGTCCTCTTGGTTATGTTACACAAGGAAGACGTATGCAAAGATTGTTGCTGAAAAGTTACATGTAATGTGTATCTTAGACTACTCAACGCTCTTAAAGGAGTATTGTAAAAAAATTGCTACAGTTCACTTAATAGTTTTAAACACTTTAATCTTCCAATTTATGGTATTTTTTAACATTCTTACCAATACAAGAACACTTGAAATGACTTGTTTTTGAAGGTACATGTATATTCACTGTTTTCAAGAATACTTGAAAATTTTTTACATCTCTAATCCCAATGGACTATCTTTTGATTTAATTGTTTTCTTAGACAACTGTTGCAACAAGAATTGCATGAAATAATCTATTGTTGAGTAATTAAGTTCCAAAGAAAGGTATAGGAATCAGAGATGTGCGAAATAAAATACATAACTGGATTTATCACAAATCAATAAATATTAAGAAACAGAATACAACTGAAAGGGCAAGTAAATTTTGAAAAAATATTTTTGTGAATTTTTTTTCATGCAAATACTGAGCAAATTGAAAAGATAGGATGCCAGGCAACGAAACATACACCCACAGCGGCTAATTCGTCAGGGCAGTCAACAAGAGTTGTCACATATTTTTACTTTTATCGGTAATGAAACATTTATAATACACTATAATCTGATTAAGACTTAAGAGTAACAATTCAGAAAATCATTAGAATTTGTTTGGCCCATGCTAACGTTAAGTATACAAAACATTTAAAATCATGGATTTAGCAATTCAAGTTATCAAAAATAATTGATAATCAATCTTTAAGAGTAGACCGTGTTTCAATCTAAAGTGAATCGAAACGATTATATATAGGCGTAAACAGGGTGTATAAATATAAAAAATCAATCAGATGATAACTATGGTCTCTAAATGATCCACAAGATTTTTCAAAGTGATCAAGGGCCATAACTCTGGCTGTAATTATCGGAAATCAAAAGGCTTCTTCGTCTGATGACCTTAAACACTGTGTATAAATTTAAAGTCAATCGGATATTAACTTTAGCCTTTAGAGTGTCCACAAGATTTTTCAAAGTGATCAAGGGCCATATATATCAGAAATCGTTGAAAATCAATAGGCTTCTTCGTCTCTTGGCCTTAAACACTGTGTATAAATTTCAAGTCAATCGATATTAACTTTAGGCTCTATAGCGCCCACAAGCAATAATGGACGCCGGACAGACGGACGGACGGACAGGGGCGACGACAATATACAACTACATTTCAATGTGGGTGTTTAGAAATGGACTCTTACAATACATGGATAACAGTTAATCAAGGCTTGCGTGCTACAGTAATTCAATGAAAAAACTTTCACATCTATACATGTAAAGTAATAGTATGTCTACTATTTACATGTATCTAAGACTGGGTCCATCTACTATATATATATATATAAAACCCTGCAGTATCTCTTGTGCTGTAGTCTCAAACTGTTCAATTGCCTAACAAATTCTGTAACTTGACTTAGTGCAATGGGGACTTGCTTTCTAATATCAAAACATGTCACATGGGACAAGGAAAATGTATCGCATTCAATTTCTGGACCCAGTCTCCGTGCATTTTGTATTTAAATATTTTTTAAGTTGATATCAATAATGTCGACAGTGAGTAATGTGTTTCCATTCTTGTGAATAAAAAAAAGCTTAGATATTAGACGGCTGGATTAAGTGCAAGTGTATTAATTTTTCGACTCAGATTAAAATATAGACCTATCGCTGTGAATTTCTACACACAGTTCCGCATGCCAAACGAAAAGAACTCATACCAACAGACCATTTGATTGGCTAATCCCTCATGTAAACCAGAACGCTGGTTATTTAACAACGCTTCCAGATCCAATGTAGTGAAGGCAAACAAAACGTAATTTTGAACTATAAAAAAGAAACGAAATAGGATCTGTGTTTTAATCCAGAAAAAAGATAAGATTTTTCGTTAAATTGCAATGTAAATGTTGAGGTTAACTATCAACATTCTTGATATCAACTTTTGGGGGTAAAGACAATGCCAGAAATATACAAACAGATTTCATGTATATGTTTTTAAATGTGTTTAAATCCAGTTACTGACAATGTAATGTTTTTGATACATTATTTTATTCAATAAAGATCGAAATCTGAGAATGTGTAAGCCCACATGTATAAGCCTACCACACATATTTGGTTAACGTAAATAAAACTTAGATTTCTTTACTCTTCACAAAGATTTTCCTTCCACAAACTGTCAATTTCTAATCAAATTGCAGCATGACATTACATACATTTAGTTTAGTTAATAATGTTTTTAATCATTTAAATTAGATACACTTAATGTATATGTATCTTTGTAAATTTAGATACATGTAAGAAGTCATGATAGCTGTAACAAATGTAATCTGTATTGTACAGCTTCTGTCATTGTCTGGTTTATAGAAGAAATCATTCCCTACCTGATAAAAACTGGGGCATTTGTTGAGGTGATTGACCAAATGAAGCTCCTTGTGAGCCACCGGCTACGCTGCTGGATAAATGTGCAAGACTATCTAAATTTTGATTTTCATTTTGATGTAATGCTATAGGATATAACCCTAAAGTTTCTTCCCCCGTAGAAGAATCTTTTGACTGATTTGAAAAAGCTGCAAAAAATAAATGATAACTATTATTAAAATTTGTTATACAAAATCATATGAACTTATTTATTATTTCCAAAGGCGTAAGTTGTACAATCCCTTCATTCTTTAGTTTATTGTCTTTTCAAGTCTCAACTCTACACTTTATATGTATTTTAAAAGATAGACACCCATCATGTGTACTGTATCATTATTACTTATACAACACATATTTTACTTACAATGTACACTGCTTTGTTCTAACATTTGATGCTGCTGTTCTTGACTAAAAAAACAACTAGCTTGTATAGCACTTTTATCGTCCACCTCCTCCTTAATGTTTGTTAAGTCAATCTCAACAGAGTCATTTTTAAAATTATCTTTAAATGAATGAGAACTAGAACTATCTTGAGACGCTGAAAATGAACCAGATCGGTCTTTTTTAAGAGGAGACTCCCGATCTCTTTGTAATGAAAAGCTGAAACTTTGATGAGATGTTCCATCACTTGACAGTCTAGGATGCTTTCGCCCGTGTCCGCCATCGGGAGATCTTAACCCTCTTTTTGTTGGTGTTTTGTAAATATCGGGGGTACCAGTACTCATCGGAGACATGCCTGGTTGACTATCGGGTTTTGGGGGATTTAATCTTGCTTGTTCATTATTTGTATTTTCACCGGTTTCTGATGTGCTTTTACTTGTGTTTTCACCCTGTTGTTCATCTTTCTTTTTTTGAGCAGTGTTCACTGAATGATAACTGTTACTAACAAACATTGTTGAAGAGGCATCATTTTTACACACTTTCTCATCAACAATATAATTGAATTTTTTTGCCTTGTCAACTTTTAGATAGAGATGTCCAACCACTTCAATATCATTTCTGAATTCAACATTACTATGGCAGAGAACTTGTAGATTTCTCACCAGGGAATTGATGAAATTTGATGCAGCTGCCTCATTCATATTGATAATCTAAAACAAAAAGAAAATGTATTTTGAATAAATTCATCATATTAAATTGGGTGGTGAAACATTATATAAAATCATACAGCAAAGAGCAATGTACATTTAGAGTCTTCTGTGTCATGAAAATATATTGTACAGTATAAGTAATCATCATCATGAATCATTCATGATTTAATTTATAGGCTGCAATGATTCATCCATGAACTGATGAAATGCGAAACAAGCGGCTGCCAGGCAGGATATGCCCACATTTTCGAGAGATGGATAGAGAACAAGCTAAAAAGAAAGTGATTTTTCGTACAATCAATCAAGGGCCATAATTCAGGAAATTACAATTCGATATGCACAAATATCGAAAGGAACCGAGATCTTTGTGTGTAAACTTACATTTCAAGTTTCAACAAAATCGGATAAAAATTGTGACCTCCATAGGATCCACAACCTTGATATACCATATTTTTTACGCTATTTGAGAACGAAGGGCGGCCATTTTGTCTGTCAGTTTTGGGCCGATTTTCACGAAATTCGAACTCAGCCGTCCTTATGGTGTAACGGTGATAGAATAATACGTTTTTTTTAATCGGATAAAAATGATGACCTCTATAGGGTCCATAAGCTAAAAATGCGATTTTTTGTACAATCAGGGGCCATAATTCAGGAAGTTACGATCCGACGTGCCCAAATATCGAAAGGAACCAAGATCTTTGAGTTATAAAATTACATTTCAACTTTCAACAAAATCGGATTAAAATTGTGACCTCCATAGGGTCCACAACCTTGATATACCATATTTTTACGCTCTTTGAGAACGAAGGGCGGCCATTTTGTCTATCAGTTTTGGGCCGATTTTCATGAAATTCGAACTCAGTCGTCCTTAGGGTGTAACGGTGATATAATGATACGTTTTTTTTAAATCGGATAAAAATTATGACCTCTATAGGGTCCACAAGCTAAAAACGCGATTTTTCGTACAATCAGAGGCCATAATTCAGGAAGTTACGGTTCGATATGCGCAAATTTCACAAGGAACCAAGATCTTTGGGTTATAAAGAGAGAGAGAGAAATGGGGTTTAACGTCCACTCGACACAAACTAGGTCATTTCGGGACTAACATATGGTTTAATTTTATTTACATTATTCGCTTGCGCGTAGGGGTCTTTAGCAGTGGGAGGAAACCTGAGGACCCGGAGAAAACCCACGAGGTTGTACAGACGACCCTACTCCTTGCCATGTACAACCGGGGATTCGAAACCACGCCAGTCGACTCAATGACAGACTTTATGATACAGCGCGCACGCTAACCATTCAGCCACCCAACTCCCCTTTGGGTTATAAACTTACATTTCAAGTTTCAACAAAATCGGATAAAAATTGTGACCTCTATCGAGTCCACAACCTTGATATACCATATTTTTACGCTATTTGAGAACGAAGGGCGGCCATTTTGTCTGTCAATTTTGCGCCGATTTTCACGAAATTCTAACTCAGCTGTCCTTAGGGTGTAATGGTGATATAATAATACGTTTTTTTAAATCGGATAAAAATTATGACCTCTATAGGGTCCACAAGCTAAAAACGTGATTTTTCGTACAATCAGGAGCGATAATTCAGGAAGTTATGGTCCGATATGTGCGAATATCGAAAGGAACCGAGATCTTTAGGTTATAAACTTAAATTTCAAGTTTCAACAAAATTGGATAAAAATTGTGACCTCTATAGGGTCCACAACCTAGATATACCGTATTTTTACGCTATTTGAGAACGGACGGCGGCCATTTTGTCTGTCAATTTTGGGCCGATTTTCACTAAATTCGAACTTGGTCGTCCTTGGGGTGTAACGGTGATATAATAATACATTTTTTTTTAAATCGGATAAAAATTATGACCACTATAGGGTCCACAAGCTAAAAACGTGATTTTTCGTACAATCAGGGGTCATAATTCAGGAAGTTACTATCCGATATGCGCGAATATCGAAAGGAACCAAGATCTTTGGGTTATAAACTTACATTTCAAGTTTCAACAAAATCGGATAAAAATTGTGACCTCTATAGGGTCCACAAGCTCAAAACGTGATTTTTCTTACAAACAGGGGCCATAATCCATGAAGTTTCGATTCGATGCATGCCAATATCGAAAGCAGCCAAGATCTTTTGGAGATAAACCTATATTTCAAGTTTCGTCAAAATCGGATAAGAATTGTGACCTGTAGAGTGTCCAAATGAAAATGTGGGCGTATAAAAAAAATCAGATTCACCAACTTTCAAGAACTTTTAGGCATTCCGATGTCGAAGAAATAAAAGGGATTCATATTACGATATTTATATGGAGCAATGTACGTTAAGACCTAACAATTGAAGATGGTGTGTCTGTGTCTGTGTGTGTGTGTGTGTGTGTGTGTACGTACCTACATGTATGGATATGTGTCATGTGATTGGTCTTTGATAATTGAGAGTGACAGGTTATTTACTGAAGCAACAGGTATGAAAGAGAGAGAGAGAAATGGGGTTTAACGTCCACTCGACACAAACTAGGTCATTTCGGGACTAACATATGGTTTGATTTTATTTACATAATTCGCTTGCACGTAGGGGTCTTTAGCAGTGGGAGGAAACCGGAGGACCCGGAGAAAACCCACAAGGTTGGACAGGCAACCCTACTCCTTGCCACATACAACCGGGGATTCGAAACCAACAGGTATGAAGAAAAGCTACCTGTCGCTTGCGACAGGTAAATTTTTTTTGATGATGTGTCGCAATAATGAGTATGATGTAGTAAAAGTGTGCAGTAGCATTAGGTAAATCTTCCTGCCTCCTTCCCCTAGTTACATTTATGCCCAATTTCACACATTGGAATTCCTGGTTGGGGCCTTGCGCAGCTGTGCATAATCATGGCATGGATATAAATGTCATGACCTAATAGTAATAATAAATAAACTTTTGTTCAATTGTCGTGCTGTCGCCACATATAGATTACAAAATGCTCTATTACTTGTATCTAAAACAACATATCAGACCACCTATCCTATATAGTATATTATAGTCATCAAATACGGCATCCATAGAACAAGACTGTCCAAGGGGCCTTTAGAAAAAAAGTATTGCAAATACGGTGGCCTGAAATAGCTCGGACACCACACAAAGATAACTATAATATTAATATAATATGCATTCTTCAAGTGTGTTCTGCATATGATAATATAGTTGAAAAAACTTATTAGGACGTGAAAAGATTGTCTTTTTTAAGTTTTAGAGAAGAAGTGAAATGTCGATTTGCCATCCATGTGGCAGACAGTAAACTGGACTAAACGTGAAAAACATTTTTATTCAAGATGGCGTAAAACTAGTAAAAGCCGGTGATAATGAATGTACAATGGCTGAAATCTTTTCTTTTCGACTCGTTTAGTGCCTATAATCTATCTTTATACTTACAATATATTGCTTAATTCAATTATTTAATGCTAGATACTTGTATTGGTGAGACTTGTTACTTTTACAATGATGAAATTATTACTAAGCGTGATCAATATAACTTTTTATAAATAAACAGTTATTTCTGCAGATACCATGAAGCTCGCGCAGATAAACGCTTGAGTTTTACTTGACTAGTAGCTCCGTTACAATTCAGACTGAGAAAAATAAATTCCGGATAAGCGAGACTTAAAATTGCGGGCGCGCGCTAAGGATATGTTATTTTTTTAAGGGAATCGCATATTGCGAAAAGATAATACAGAATTTTTTCCGAAGGTAAAAGAATAAAACTAAACTTGAATAAATGAACAAAGAACAAGGAATCTTCAAACAGATATATTAATCCGATATTAATATAGGAAACAAAGTATTTCATGTACGATTCGATTTTAATAATAATTTCTCCCACGACTGAGCCAGCGGGTTTATATTCGATTATCCAGTCGTAATCAGTTGTTCCTACTCACTTCAGGATATTATCTATAGTACGGTACACAAATAATATCACTATAATTTTGTAATAATAAACTGCAGTTTTATTTTGTGTCACAAATTAATTTGAGTTCAGAAACTTGTGAAGCTAAATATGCAAACATTTGCATTGGTTAAGATTAAGTGGTACGAAACGACTCTCTCTAAACCGGCCATTATTCTATAAATAGACTACATAAATCGACCATTACACTCTCGATCCACAAGAGCGGTATGTAAAGTTGAAATTATGTTATATGTGCGTATGTGTGGATAATTGTTGTCCACATTTCTTTTATCTTAGACCTCGCCCCGATCACTGTAGCATCTTGTATTTTATGGACGTTTATGTTGACCGATACAGTGAAAACGTCCTGATAAAAGACAAAACGCCATACCAATTCATCCATGATATTTACTATAAAGGACACATGGGCTTAGTTCGTTACGTAATCAAATGCGGATTAAACGGTCCATCGCACCGCTTTCCTTTCAAATCATTCAAATCATTCAAATCATTCATTGCAACTTTTTGTGATCAAATTAAATCAATACCCACGCCTATCATCTGATTATAAACAGTAAAATGATTTATAGAGTTATTGCCCTTAACGTAACCAATTAAAATATGCTCAATAATTTATGTGATTACATTTTTAGACATCATGATTCATATTTTCACCTGATTTTGATTAAACTTGCTGTGGCTTTATAATTTATATTCATAAAATTTTACCGCAACATTCAGATTTTCTGTGTCTGGGGTAAACACAGATTTTTTTTAGATTTGAATTAGAAACAGACCTTTAGGAAAAGGAAAAATTAATTGTGTCCGGTCTTATCCCACTCAGACAAAGATTAAAAAACACTTCCTGTTCTTTTTCCAAATTGGTAGAAATATTGCATTTGATTTTGATAACCAACTTATAAAAATTGAAATTTTATTGACCAATGGTTTTGACCAATACAATAGTATTGATTTTTGTAACAATAAAAAATTTCTATTTTACTAGGTGCAGAACAATAAGCATTACTGTACCAGTTCCCAGATTATCCTTAAAAAATTCAGATCTACAAGCATGGATATTGTATCAGCTAATAATTTCATGGACAATTTGATAAAGAATATTCAGATGTTATGCCATGGTCATATCCCCTTCGTTAATAATGTAGAAGTTATTGGCCATATCTACCTAAATATTGACTGTGGTAAAAAGCTCAATTATATTTTGAATGAGAAATGCAGTAAAGCCAGTACGTCTTTAATATTTACCAGCAACAGTTTTCATGCTTCACCTGGCAATGAAAATCCTTCAAAGCCAAAGAAACAGAAGACTTCAACTGTTGTTAGTCCTGAAGGAACTCCATCAAAAATTAGTAAGAGATCTGATGAAACAAACTTAAAACAAGACCATGTTGATGAATACTTTGGTATGATGTCTTTTAATGACAATTAGCTTAAGAGATATTATCACTGATACCAAATATTTGTAAAAACCCAATACCTGAATGAAATAAATAGCCATGTGTCCCCACTTAACACTTTTCAAGCATTTTTATGTGTTATCCACATTTTCATTTTACTTCTGCTTTTATGTCTTGTAGTCTTTTTGTAATTACCTTTAAAGTAGACACAACTGACAATGGAGTAGTATGGCCCAATGTAATTCAAAATGGAAAAGGTATCACACATCTTATTCAATTAAAATAGTTAAAGAGGTCCTTAGATTAGAAAAATGTGTCCTTTGGTTTTAAATTCACTGTATGATTTTTACTGTAAATTGATTCTTCTATTGTTGTGTTTTTAGATGCCAGTACAGAAGAAGCAGATTCACAAGAATTTGATGATTCTTCTGGACAACACATGTTTGTAGATCCTGCTAGTGAAGATGAAGATGATGACAATCCAACAAAAAGTGAAATATCTTGTACAAGCACAGGTATATTTTGTACGCTATATTTTGAGAATTTTAGTATTATTAGAATAGGATTGTTTAATCATAGCTGGAAAACCATAAATGAGACAATTTATATATTTTCTTATTACTGCACTTGAACAGCATTTTTTTTGGAATGTTGGCTGTAATGTTTGCAAATGTGTTTAGAATAAAGTTACTTGGCCAAAGAACAGTGTAGACATTTTCTCATAGACAAAATTATTAATACTGGGTATATTGATAGTCCAAACCAGGGGTGTCACCCGGGCCAAATTTGGCCTGCCAAGGGTTTAGATAACCTGTGGAACAACTTTCAGCAAACTGAGGTGTCAATATTTCTTAGAATCTAGCGGTGGAAATCATTTATTATTTTATCTGGTTTCAGTAAAACTCTGACTTCTGTACTGTATGTCATAGATATCTAAGTTGTATGTAATATAATGTGCTCAATAGTATATCTTGACAATTTGGAAACCTGTCTAAAATAATTGCCTGTGTCAAGGACATTTGGCTTTGTTTTTATAATTTTTGTATATCTCCGGCCCACTTGATGTAAAATTTTTGTTCACGTGGCCCCTTGATCGAAGTGAGTTTGACACCCCTGGTGCAAACCAAAGAAAGAGAGCTGATTAAGCTCATTTGTTTTTTGATAGGTCATACGGCAAACATAATCTTTTGGGAGTCAATTTATGCTTAAATTAAATTTTATTTCAGATGCATTTAACACTGAAGCTTCAATCAAAAATGTCAACATTTCTGGATTACTGTAAGTTTGATTCAGGATAGTTAAATTGATGTTATAGCCTAACAGCTGTCATTTTTATACACCTACATTTTTATGTGGACATATATTGTTGTCGCCCCTGTCCGTCAGTCCGTCCACAATTTGTTTGTGAACACTCTACAGGTCACAATTTTTATCCCGTTTTGACAAAACTTGAAATATAGGTTTATCTCCCAAAGATATTTCGGTTCCTTTCGATATTGGCATTAGTCGGATCGTAACTTTTTGGATTATGGCCCCTGATTGTAAGAAAAATCATGTTTTTAGCTTGTGGACATTCTAGAGGTCACAATTTTTATCCAATTTTGATGAAACTTGAAATATGTGTCCTTTTTATCTCATTTAAAATAACGTTTAGATATATCCCTGTTACACCATTATGACGGCTGAGTTCGAATTTAGTGTTAAAGTATGTAATATCAAGTGTATCATCGTTAAGTGTATCATCGTTACACCCTGATGATGATTGTGTTCGAATTTCTTCAAAATCGGACCATAACTCCCCGCCAAAATGGGCGCTCCTTGAACGCAAATTGTGTAAAAATATGTAAAGTATGATGAAACTTAAAATATATGTTTATATCTAAAGGATCTCAAGTGCTTTGGATATTTGCACAAATCAGACCATAACTTCCTGGATAATGGCCCCTGATTGTACGAACAACTTTAAACAGATTTTAAAAATCGTTTAAATATATCACCATAATGAAGGTTGAGTTTGAATTTCGGGAAAATTGAAATGAAACTGCCTGACAAAATGGCCGTTCCTTTTATGCAAATTGTGTACAATGATGTAATACGAAGGGTGTGGACCCTCTAGAGGTCACAATTTTTGTCCGATTGTGATGAAACTTAAAATATATCTTTATATCCCAGATCTTAGTCCCTTTTGATATTCGCGCAGCAGACCATAACTTCTTGGATTATGGCCACTGATTGTACGAAAAATCACGTTTTTTTTTTAGCTTGTTTTCTATCCATCTCTTGCAAAATGTGGGCGTATCTTGCCTGGCAACCGCTGGTTGTCCATGAAAGTGTAAAATTCACAATGCCTATAAGTTTAGCCTGCTTAACTATTCTGACCATTGATTCTGATCTTGTTGATCAGAGAAGTTAATGTCATCAAATGCACATCCCGAATTATCTCTAACCCATTAAGAGGACCAAGTTAAGCCAGCTCAGCAAATAGGAAGTTTTTGACCAAAAGAAATTAAAGTAGCCTAAAGGCCCAAATAAAGTCAAAAGAATTATTATGTCCAGCATTGGTGTCAATTGTTAGTTTGAAATCTAATCAACTGGTAATTATTTTGGATACAATAAGGTTGATCTAATAATTTCCAGTTGCCTGAATATTTTGGCATTTGACCGCTGCGACTAACTGGTTATCATGTGCTGTGAGTCAAATAGAATAGACCTTATCAAGAAATTATGGTATGCTATACCCAACAAATTATCATACTGTTGTATATAAGTTGTGGCAATACGGGTACATAAGACAACAAAAAACAGGAACTCTCTTTCTACATCATCAATAAAGACAGCAGAAAAATAACATATACACGAATTGTATATATATCAATAAGATAAATATATTTATGTTAACTTCAATTCTTTTTATAAATTCAGGCATGATGTAGGACAAAGTGATAATATTGACTATTCTATCATTGAAATGGGCACACAGCAGGGTAGACCTATGCTGGTGGATAATATTGGTTATAGTTATAATTTGAGAGTAAAAGTAAAAGTAAAATCTATATTACTATGGATACTATTTAACCCCTCCTTTTTTTAACAGGAGACTATTAAAATGGGTTCATCAATTTGTCTGTCTCCCTGTCTTAGGACACCATAACTCTTAATTGAGCTAGAATTTTCAAACTTGGTGTAAGTGTTTAATAGGGGGATGCCTTGACTGAATTCAATAATGAACATTCTCTACTTAGTCTAAGCAGAGATATACAATTTGCTTGGTTATGACTTTGGAACACAATAACTTGGATTCTAATTGGACGAGAGTGATAATGAGAATTTTCAGCTTGGACTTAGTAGGTTGGTCAAAACTTTGGAACACAATAACTCTGCTTTTAATTAAAGTAGACTTGAAGGAGAGTGATAGAACTTGGTGAAGTTCAATTGTGAGCATTTTCTGTTTGGTTCTTATGATCAATTCAATTGCTTGATGCGTAAGAAAAAGGTAAATTTCCAATTAATTAATATGTCTCATCTATTTATTTTGGGATTAAGCCTCATTCTTTGCATGTTTTTCTGTAAAGTTACTATCTATAGTAAACCTTCCTGGGTTTTCGTAAGTTCATCTCTTGAAATGTTGTCGTATATTGTCATCACCCCCATCTGTCCGTCCGGCATCCACAATTGACTTTAGATTTATACAATGTTTATGATCATGAGATGATGAAGCCTATTGATTTTCGATAATTACTGCCAGAGTTATTGCCCTTGATCCCTTTAAAAATTGTGTGGCCGCTTAAGGTGTTTGTCATGAGACAAGGAATCTGTTGAATTTCAGAGATTTCTGAGAATAACTGCAAGAGTTATATGATGCCCTTGATGAGATGAAGAAACTTATTGATTTTCAGGAATTGCCCAAAATAGCTGCCAGAGTTATGACGCTTGATTAACTTAAATTTTATACACAGTGTTTATAGTCATGAGATGAAAAAGCCTATTGCTTAATGGGTTGTTAATCTTGATCCATTTTTAGTGTCTTTAAAATGCTCCCATGGCCTACAAAACAACAAATATGCGACAAACCTTGTGGATTTCTCAGATGACTTAGCTGCTGTAGGCGTATGTTTTGTTGCCTGCCAACCTATCTTTCTAAATGCCCTCTATAGCAAACTGGTACATGTATTTCCAAAATAATGCCTATAGCACACTGTACGGCATATGCCCGTCTTCATTAGCCCTGTCGGTGCAGACATTGATCCCCATTTCTTTTCATTTATGACTGAGTCACATTAGAACCATCTGGAAGTAGTGTTATGTATTTTAATGTTACAACAATAGTTGTATGCTTTGATATAAGATTATTTACAATCTTATTAAAATGCAGATCCTATTTCATTTTGTTTTTTATAGTTCAAAATTTCATTTTACTTGTCTTTACTACACTAGGATCTGGAAGAGTTGTTATATAATCACATTCTTGTTGATGTGAGGGATTAGCCAATGAACCACACTTGATGTAAACAAAATAAATTCAATCAATTAAACAACAATCAGATGTCTTTATTGATGATTTGCCTGTAAGTTATTTTAAACAAATTATTTAATAGGAACGAGCAGACAAATGTGCAACATGGCGATGTACTGTTAGAAATAAGAAAATAAGATGTGCAGCAACTGTATCACAAAAAGGAGATCAATTTATCAGAGGAAAACATGAACATAGTCATGATCCGAAAGCAGGCCTGTTAACATCAGTTTTGATTACTGCAGAGGTTTGTATTCATTCTTAAAACAATTGCATATATTTGAGTCATGAATAACTCATTATACCTAGCTGCCATATCTTGTGAACGGTGTTCTCACTTCTCAGTAATATTATGATTATCCCGAACTCTGAGCCACCTTTGCTTTAAATACATATAAAGTTGCGCATGAAGTTTAAACATGCATTATGCAAGAGCTAAATCTGCCTATCGCAGGTCTTTCTTTAGGCCTGAAATCTTATCTAAATTATTAATTAGACATTAATTAACTTATCTAGACCATAATCAACTCTCGATGTCAAGGCTAGCCTTCGATATCGACTGGATTAGAATCCTATATGCTGCAAATGCTCATTGATAATTAAATCAAAACTATGGATAATCGAGACTATGCTTTTTAACGTACTAACTTTAGTAATGATGAACGAGGCTAGGCGTAAATTTACAAAGCTGATATCTCGGTTCATAGTGGACCAATTTGACTGAAATTTTCAACAAATTACCTTTACATTATCTAGTTTTTAACTATTATAGCGAGAACTGTCAGCTCTTTATCTAATCTCCCATAATGTATCTTTAAAATGTGCTATGTGCAACAGGGTCTAGGTAAATGTGAATACTTAATAAAAGTGATATCAAAAATTTGGACAAGTTCGTATGTTCATTTTTTTTCTCACTTTACCTCTCTGTCTGAAAATCTGATTGCTCGAATAGGGTAGACTGATACGCCTATGAGAACTCTTAAGATTTTTACAAGATTTGCGATCAAATAAACAATCCCTTCAAAGTTGAAAACAATCTATCAAGGACTCTGACCTGTAAAGTGTTCACAATAAATTGTGGATGGACTGACAAGAAGGTTGTGATCAACTGCTGGTAAAAGAGAATGTAAAAAGTCACATTCGGTTTTGATATTGTAATGGTTAAATGAACATTTAAAATGGCTAGACCTCTTTGATTTGGACCTGAAATTTTTTTTGATTTGGATCAAAAATATACCTAAATGAAACTGACATTCGTACAAAAAAAACCCTGTTCATTATGTAAGAATTAGATAAAGAGCTGGTCATTCTTGTTATAATAGTTCAAAAATACATCATGGAAATTAATGAATATATTGACAATTTCAGTCAAATTACTTTATTTTGTGCAAAGTTATGAGTGTTTGAAGTTTTGACCAAATGTAATGTAGTTTGTTTATTACCGTAGAAACGGTACTGGATAAAGTCTTGATTATCTATTATATCGTTAATTCTTAAATGGCCACAGTGTTCTAATCTACTTAAAATAGAAGCCATAAAATAGAAGCCATCCAATGGCCCAGAGAGTTTATTAATTGTTTAAATAATAGTCTGTATAGTGTTTGAAGCCAGAATCTGCAAAAGGCATATTTAGCTCTTACATAATACATAATAATCTTTTCAAAATTTAATCATGCAATGTTAATCAAAGAATGCACCAGATCAGCTCATTTAAATACTTTATCTTTACATTCAAAGGTTCATATTATTTTGTAGGCAAGAGCACAAGCTAGTAATGATTTTATAACACCAATATCTGATGTAGTAGAAAGAGTGATGTCAGTAAAAGGAACAGAAGATGAAGCTGCTTTACCTAAAATATGTAATTTGAAAAGAATGATCAATAGACATAGGCAAATTAGTCGGAAGAGTTGTTCCGTACAAGATCCAGGAGATCTGAACTTTGAAGAAACATGAAATGTAGACTTGCAGGAGGGTCAAAATTTAATTCCTTGTACAGGCTTTTATTAATATTCTGAGCTATTATGTAAATTGAACTGCTCGTAAACACTGTTTAGTGTTTTTAATGTAGTATGTTATATTTACAATAATAAGCTATTACAATCTCGGAGGAAATAGTTACGTTTGTCCTTAGTGCCTATGGGTCCCAAAGACTTAAAAAACAAAATAGATGTGTTTTATATTTTAAATAGGTACTCATTGGGTGTCTGCAATGCTACATTTAGTTTGAAGTCAGACTCAAAATTTTATTATACAAACTGGCCGTAAGAAGATTATAAATTGGTTTGTTTCTATTTTAAAAAAATGAATATGTTGTATTGTTAATTTATCAAATCATTACCATTCATGTAAATTCTGTTACATATTATCATAATGGCATCATTTAAAATAATTAAGAGAAATGTTCTTGAAGAAATGATTCAAATAAAATTTTTTTCCAAATGTAAGCGTAAACTTTGTAAATTTAATGGAAGAAGCTGGAATTCATTAACACCTCAGTACTTTTTCACTAGTAATGTTATTAGTAAAGTGTTGAGCAAGAATTGGACAATAGAAACTGCCAATGTAAACAGAAACTGCCCTGAGATTGCTGAGAAGATTTCAAGTTATGTTTATGAATTTTAGAACATTTTAAACATGCCTCCCATTGTTCAGAAGGTTGACAAGGAGGTATGTCTAACATTGATTGCATGAAAAACTATGGGGTACATTGGTTATAAGCTTCCAGCATGCAATAAAACAAATAAAACTGGTTTTTAAAGATGTAAATGTGTGTCCTTTGATTAAGAAGGTAAATCTTGATTGTGATCAGTTCAGAAATTACAGGCCAGTATCAAACGTTTATGCATTGCTCACCAATTTACAGCTAATATTGAACAGAATTGTTTGAAAGAACAATATCAAAATGCTTACACTAGTTACATAAAATGTCGCAGTATGGAAACTGCACTTACACGAGTTCACATTGATATTATTATGTCATTAGACAATCTATAATTGAGAATGTGTTCTTATTCTCTTGGGTCTGTCAGCTGCATTTCAACACTGTAAACTGAAAATTATAAATAGACTTTCTACAGAATTTGTCCTTGTTTCTTCTGTAAGACTGAAGACCTCAAACAAGTTTACGCAGAGTACCCCCGGGATCTAGTTAGGTCCAGTCCTTTTTAATCTGTATATAATACTAAACGGCTCGGTTCAATTTTCATCTATAACTGAATTCTGATAAAACATATTTTTATTGGCTCAAAACCACACCTACCAATAGTGACCTACAATAATGAATAGGTTCATTTACACTGATTACAGTAAAATTATTGTCTTTATGATCCAGCCAGGAACATTGTTTTCTTCGATGAACTTATCAGTATGTAAGTTTAGATGAATAATGTTTATAGGCTACTATTTAATCGTTGTACTAAGAAAAATTAGATTGATTACAAAATTTATCACATATGATGCAACAAAAACTTCAACCAATTCATATTATTCCCATATTGTATAATCTGCATGAGTTATCCACTTTCATTACAATTAAGTTCAAAATAACCCTTCTTAAAGCAAACCTCATTTGTCTGGAGCCCCTTAAAGTTTGTGTTTCAAAAGGAGATCTCAGATCTTCAACAGACCACCCATGATTGTTTCTTAGAAGCTTTATCTCGGTAATTTTTAAATCTTGGGCAATGTGACTGTGTTTTTATACAAATACAGGTCACTATTCAATTGAAAAACAGGCGAATACCCCAACCCGGGAATGGTCAATATAATTTGTTTGCCCAGAAGAGTTGCAATTGGGGCGTGACTAAGAAAAAGCTATGGTTTATTCCGAAGAATAGAATTAAAGAACATCATTAAACAGTTATGTAATGGGTTATTTTACTTGCACATTTTTCGTCCCATCTGAATGACTAGACATTGGTCCTTGTCAAACTCTCTGTCCTGCACCACTGACAAGAGGAAATTTCGAGGAACTTTCTCTGTCAAACCCAAGACCTCCAAATTACTGAGCCGACACCTTATTAGCCTACTCACTGAGGCACTGCAGCTCCCAAGATGCGTGGAGAAGACTCACAAACTACACAGTTATTGCCAGTAATAAACAATTAAAGAACAAATTTACGCATATTCTTTTTCTATATCTGCCTGAATTGTTTAAATTGCAAATGTAACAAATTACAATTGTTAGGCGATTTTGTCTCGCAAAAAAACACTAGAAAAGCACAAATTTATTTTTTCAAAAGGTATACACTTGGAATGACTGTGGTCTGTGCCCCCATTCCTATATCAGCACATATGCATCATGGGCAGCTTCATCTTCTGTCCCTGAAAAAAGGTTTTGCACCCCCCCCTCCCCCCGAAAAAAAGTTGCCATACCTCTAAAATACCTACTGTAGACTGCCCCCCTAAAACCTTCACTGCCCCTCTCCGCAGTGCCTGTGCATCATGCAAGAAATTGGTTTAATTTCCCCTTTTCTGCACCAACTGGGCCAATGAAAACAAGTCTATGGCATAAGAATCGTGCTATAGAGTGCGGGGCATTTTGCACGGACAGCGGCGCCCAACTGGGCCAATAAAAACGAGTCTGTGGCATATGAAGCGTACGTGCTATAGCGTGAGGGGCATTTTGCACGGACAGCGGCGCCATACCCTTTATTTCGAATCCGTCTGGGTTCGTTTACGTTGTAGGCCAACATTTACAGTGATTTTCTGTCCGATCATAATCGATAATGACTAGACACTGTTCCTTGCCAGGCCCCCGCATCACTGACAAATACAAATACCATGGACCTTATCAATGTGCTATAGAGGGAAATTTTGCCTGGACAGCTGATCGAGATAAGGCCTACTATTATTTGGAACTGCAACTGTCAAGGGTTCTCTTACATGCACGCCAATGTGTACATCAGACCTTGGTTTTTGGTACCATCCAAACGGGTAGACATTAGCCTTTGTGTTCTGACTACTTCGGTCAAATAACTCGCCTACGTGGACGAAATGGTTGTATTGAAATCGGCATGTGTACGAAACGACCTTCTTCAAAAGAGTTATTCCCCCTTACTTCATGGAGGGGTTATTGTTTAACTTAAATAGTTTAATCAAATTACAATAAATTCGAGTTATGATTGAGTTATTATGGCGTATACATGATTTTTATAATATTATTTTTCACACGTATAAAAATCGGTGGTACATATCTTCAGAATTAAAAAATATTATTATTTTATTTATAATCCCAATTATTTTCCCCTACAGGAAGTTTTCGTCTTACTTATTTTTTTTGGGCAAAGTTTTATAGTAACTCAAATTGTAATCCTAGTTATTTCCTAAAAGGTAGTTTGTTTACATTTTAATTCTAAAGGAACTAAAGGGATAAAACATCTATTTGATTAAGGTCAGAATAAAGTATTGAAGTGGTTTGATAATTTGATAGAAATGACCAATGAGCTTGCAATATTTTTCCTTAGTTCTTCTGCAAATTAAATTCTAAAACATTTTCTTGAACTAAATAGAATAATAAATAAAGGTGTTTGAAGTATATCTAGTAAAAATTATTTCCTATCTTGTGTAAATGGGTATAAGATGAGTAAAATGCACCATTCTGCCCAGACCAGTTAATGCAATCAACATCTTATGTAAACATGCATGTGCCATACATGTAGATCACAGGAGTCTGACCTTCTATCCGTATGCATACAACATGTCCAACCAGACAATATATAATAAAAAAGAACAGGAATGCAATGCCTGTTGAAGACTCGATTTTACCTGCTCTCGCTTCGGCTCATTTTTTTAAAACAATTCGTAATGTCAGGCAATCAAACCGCTGTCGATTCACTCAGGACTCATATATGTTTTTTCTTCAATCTAGTCGTTTTGATTTTCATAAATACTCCCACAAAACGATATAATAGCCACTTGTTTTGAATATTAACATTGGTTAGGTTTTTGTGTGACGTCTGCGCATGGCGGCAGTGACAAAATGGAAATGGACGAAAGTAATGTAAATATTGGAAACAAGTGGCTATGATATCGTTATGCAAATCAAAATGACTAGATTGAAGAAAAAAGATATCTGAGTGAATCGACAGAGGTTTGATTGCCTGACATTAGGAATTGTTGAAAAAAAAACCGAGCCGAAGCGAGAGCAGGTAAAATCGAGTTTTCAACAGGCATTGCATTCCTGTTCTTTTTTTATTATATATTGTCTGGTTGGACATGGTGTATGCATATAAATACGGATAGAAGGTCAGACTCATGTGCATAGATAGAGCCAGTTATCTACACCTTGGGATGTGTCATCACCTGTAGAGAAGGCATAATTGAACTTATAAAGGCCTGTCTCTAATACAGACTACAGAGGTATAAGAAGGCTTTTACAATACATGTACCTCTGTGAAACAGATTGATTAAAAATATGAACAATCGTCAGTTAATATTCAACAAAATAAAATGAAAACAAACGTCAGACTCAAAGTCTAAGTGCCTTTTCGATGTAATTATATATCAATACTAAATTACCAAATTATTGTAGAAGAAGCAGTGCCAAGAGAGGTTACGCCTACCTTTATCCCTTGAAATGAAATTTCATATTAGATAAAAAAATATTGCAGAAACAAATTACATCATTTAAGACAGTTCAGTAAAGAACATGTTAAAGAGTGTCACTACATTGCTACAGAAACAAACTACATCATTGTTTAAGACAGTTCAGTAAAGAGCATGTTAAAGAGTCGGCTATGTCACTGCTGTCAGGGCCATATTTCCCTCAGTTTCATACATTTGTAGCACACTGCATGGTGTAAGTTTAATATTCACAAGTTAGCAACTACAACAATCTGATAAATACATATACCGATATTATTTTTTATTTCCAGGTTAAACTTACAAACTGCATGCATAGTGTAGAGGTGATAAAACCAAAATGGATGTTTCAAATGAGTTTATTGACAACCTTGTGAAAAATATACAGTTGTTGTGTCACAAACATGTTCCTTTTAATGATAATTTAGAAATTATTGGACATTTGTACCTAAATGTTGACGGCAGTGAACGATTGAATTATATTGTAAATGAGAGATGTAGAAAGACAAATCATTCTTTAATTTTTACTAGCAACAGTTATCATGCTCCACCAGGCAATACCAGACCCGTTTCAAAAGAAAAGATTAGAAAGTCACCAAAAAAGCATAAAATATCTCCCAATAAAGAAATTGAAAATCCATGTAAAGTTCGAAGGTTAACTAGATCATTAAGTCATGAAGACGCTGCTTCCTGTGTAGATGATTCATTGAATGTGTCGTTTGATATTCCAAACGAAGAACAGGGGGGAGTTATTGAGAAATCAGCTTTAGAAAATTTCATAATAATTGGACCTTCTACTGAAACAAATTACATACACAAAGAAATTGACAAATCATTAGAAGCAGGTACGATATATTTCAGTGTATAAGACAATACCTTTTGCTACATAAAGTCAAGATTCGTTATGCTATTGAAGAATATAAAAAAAAAGACATTTTAAATATTCTGATTAGAACAAATTAATATTTGAATACTGTTGGAAATGTGATCTGGTCAGATGATTTGCAGGATCTTTCTGAAATGAGTGTGAGTGAATACATAAAGCTCTTGTCCAGTGTCCCTGGTTTGCTTCCATGTCTCCAAGCTATAAATAAATGACTTAACAATTGTGTTGAACAGCAGATAAATGTTGTTTCTCCACACTTGTTGCAATTGGAGAATGCTTCAAGCTTTAGAAATCATGACTGTGACAGTCTTGTTAGTTCCCCCTTTATTATCGACAATAGTGCCCAGATATTATCATCTTGTCCACTCCTTTTATAATACTTCATCAATATTTATCAGTTCATATTTTATATATATTAGTTATCATATTTTTTAATGCAGTTGATGATAGATCGTTAGAAAATGATTCTCATGAAGTACCAGAACTATCTACACCAGCACCACTAGAATTGGATTCCATTAAAACAGAAGAACTATATCTTCAGCAGAGTGAAGATACGGCAGAGGAATTAATATTATGTTTGTATAATTGATACCTTTACATTGTAATTTTAGATTGGATCCAAGGATAACCTGTTCTGATTATTATTTGTGAGAAATGTCTTATACATTTTTATACGCCCACATTTTCATGTTGACGTATATTGTCGTTACCCCTGTCCGTCCACAATTTGTTTGTGGACACTCTACAGGTCGCAATTTTTATTCGATTTTGACGAAACTTAAAATATAGGTCTATCACTCAAAGATCTCGGTTCCTCACCATATTAGCATATATCGGACCATAAGTTCATGGATTATGGCCCCCGATTGTATGAAAAATCATGTTTTTACCTTGTGGTCACAATTTTCATCTGATTTTGATGAAACTTGAAATGCATGTTCATAACTCAATGATCTTGGTTCCTTTCGATATTTTCGAATATCGTATCGTAACTTCCAGAATTATGGACCCTGATTGTACGAAAAATCGTGTTTATACACCCACATTTTCATGTGGACGTATATTGCCGTCGAGCTCTACAAGTCACAATTTTTATCCGATTTCAATGAAACTTGAAATATAGGTTTATCTCCCTAAGATCTCGGTTCCTTTCGATATTGGCATGTATCGGACCGTAACTTCATGGATTATGGCCCCTGATTGTACGAAAAATCACGTTTTTAGCTTGTGGACACTCTAGAGGTCACAATTTTGATCTGATTTTGATGAAACTTAAAATGCATGTTTATAACCAAAAGATTTCCTTTCAATATTCGCGCATATCGGATCGTAACTTCCTGAATTATGGCCCCTGATTGTACGAAAAATTGCGTTTTTGACATTTGGTCTCTCTAGAGGTCACAATTTTTATCCGATTTAAAATAACATTTGATTATATCACCGTTACACCGTAATAAAGGTTGAGTTCGAATTTCGTGAAAATCGGACCAAAATTGCCAGACAAAACGGCCGCCATTTATATGCGAATAGTGTAAAAATATTATATATCAAGGTTGCGGACCCTGTAGAGGTCACAATTTTAATTTGATTTTGATGAAACTTGAAATGCATGTTTGTAACCTAAAGATCTTGGTTCCTTTCGATATTTGCGCATATCAGATCGTAACTTCCTGAATTATGGCCCCTGACTGTACAAAAAATCGCCTTTATTAGCTTGTGGTCCCTCTGGAGGTCACAATTATTACCCGATTTAAAAAACCATTTGATTATATCACCGTTACAATGTAATGAAGGTTGAGTTTGAATTTCGTGAACATCGGATCAAAATAGCCGAACAAAACGGCCATCACTGTATATCAAGGTTGTGGACCCTTTAGAGGTCACAATTTTAATCCGATTTTGATGAAACTTGAAATGCATGTTTATAACTCAAATATCTTGGTTCCTTTCGATATTTGCACATATCGGATAGTAACTTCCTGAATTATGGCCCCTGATTATACGAAAAATAGCCTTTTTATACGCCCACATTTTCATGTGGACGTATTATGCCGTCGCCCCTGTCCGTCCGTCCGTCCGTCCACAATTTGTTTGTGGACACTCTACAGGTCACAATTCTTATCCGATTTTAACGTAACTTGAAATATAGGTGTATCTCCAAAAGATCTCGGCTGCTTTCGATATTGGCATGTATCAGATCGAAACTTCATGGATTATGGCCCCTGTTTGTACGAAAAATCATGTTTTTGGCTTGTGGACCCTATAGAGGTCACAATTTTTATCCGATTTTCTTAAAACTTTAAATGTAAGTTTATAACCCAAAGATCTTGGTGGACCCTATAGAGGTCAAAATTTTTATCCGATTTAAAAAAACGTATTATTATATCACCGTTACACCATAAGGACGACTGATATGATATGGTATATCAAGGTTGTGGACCCTATAGAGGTCACAATTTTTATCCGATTTTGTTGAAACTTGAAATGTAAGTTAATAACCCAAAGATCTCAGTTCCTTTCGATATTCGCGCATATCGGACCGTAACTTCCTGAATTATGGCCCCTGATTGTACGAAAAATCGCGTTTTTAGCTTGTGGACCCTATAGAGGTCATAATTTTTATCCGATTTAAAAAAACGTATAATTATATCACCGTTACACCATAAGGATGACTGAGTTCGAATTTCGTGAAAATCGGCCCAAAATTGACAGAAAAATTGGCCGCCGTTCGTTCCCAAATAGCGTAAAAATATGGTATATCAAGGTTGTGGACCCTATAGAGGTCACGATTTTTATCCGAATTTGTTGAAACTTGAATTGTAAGTTTATAACCCAAAGATCTTGGTTCCTTTCGATATTCGCGCATATCGGACCGTAACTTCCTGAATTATGGCCTGTGATTGTACGAATAATCGCGTTTTTAGCTTGTGGACCCTATAGAGGTCATAATTTTTATCCGATTTAAAAAAACGTGTTATTATATCACTGTTAAACCCTAAGAACGGCTGAGTTCGAATTTCGTGAAAATCGGCCCAAAACTGACAGACAAAATGGCCGCTGTTCGTTCTCAAATAGCGTAAAAATATGGTATATCAAGGTTGTGGACCCTATAGAGGTCACAATTTTTATCTGATTTTGTTGAAACTTGAAATATAAGTTTATAACCCAAAGATCTTGGTTCCTTTCGATATTCGCGCATATCGGACTGTAACTTCCTGAATTATGGCCCCTGATTGTACGAAAAATCGCGTTTTTAGCTTGTGGACCCTATAGAGGTCATAATTTTTATCCGATTTAAAAAAACGTAATATTATATCACCGTTCCACCCTAAGGACGGCCAAGTTCGAATTTCGTGAAAATCGGCCCAAAACTGACAGACAAAATGGCCGCCCCTCGTTCTCAAATAGCTTAAAAATATTGTATATCAAGGTTGTGGACCCTATAGAGGTCACAATTTTTATCCGATTTTGTTGAAACTTGAAATGTAAGTTTATAACCCAAAGATTTCGGTTCCTTTCGATATTTGCGCATATCGAATTGTAATTTCCTGAATTATGGTCCTTGATTGTAGGAAAAATGACTTTCTTTTTAGCTTGTTCTCTATCCATCTCTCGAAAATGTGGGCGTATTCTGCCTGGCAGCTGCTGGTTTAGCTTGTGGTCCCTCTGAAGGTCACAGTTATTATCAAATTTTAAAAACCGTTTGAATATATCACCGTTACACCGTAATAAAGGTTGAGTTCAAATTTCGTCAAAATTGGACCCAAACTGTTGGACAAAATGGCTGCTGTTGTACGCGAATAGTGTAAAAATATTGTTATCAAGGTTGTGGACCCTGTAGAGGTCACAATTTTAATCCGATTTTGATGAAACTTGAAATGCATGTTTATAACCCAAAGATCTCGGTTCCTTTCGATATTTGCGCATATAGAATTGTAACTTCATGAATTATGGCCCCTGATTGTAGAAAAAATCACTTTCTGTTTAGCTTGTTCTCTATCCATCTCTCGAAAATGTGGGCGTATCCTGCCTGGCAGCCGCTGGTTTTAGCTTGTGCTCCCTCTAGAGGTCACAATTATTATCCGATTTAAAAAAAACGTTCTAATATATCACTGTTACACTGTAATGATGCTTGTCTTCGAATTTCATGAAAATTGGACCAAAGCTGCCGAACAAAATGGCCGCCCCTCGTACGCAAATAGTGTAAATATATGGTATGTCAAGGTTGTGGACCCTCTAGAGGCCACAATTTTAATCGGATGTTGATGAAACTTGAAATACATGTTTATAACACAAAGATCATGGTTTCTTTCGATATTCGCACATATCGGATTGTATTTTCCTGAATTATGGCTCTTGATTGTACGAAAAATCCTTTCTTTTAGCTTGTCGACTCTCTGGAGGTCACAATTTTTTGTCCGATTTTAAAAAACGTTTAAATGAATCACCATTACACCCTAATGATGAGTTCGAATTTCGTGATAATAGGACCAATACTGCCGGACAAAATTGCCGCCCCTCGTATGCAAATATAGTGTAAATATATGGTATATCAAGGTTGTTTAATGTGGACCCTCTAGAGGACACAATTTTGATCTGATTTTGATGAGACTTGAAATACATGTTTATAACCCAAAGATCTTTGTTCCTTCCGATCGTAACTTCCTGAATTATGGCTCTTGATGGTACGAAAAATCGTTTTTTACATGCCCACATTTTCATGTGGACGTATATTGTCGTCGCCTCTGTCCGTCCGCCCGTCCGTCCACAATTGTTTGTGGACACTCTACAGTTCACAATTCATATCCGATTTTGACGAAACTTGAAATATAGGTTTATCTCCAAACGATCTCGGCTGCTTTCGATATTGGCATTTATCGGATTGAAACTTCATGGATTATGGCCCCTGTTCGTACTAAAAATCACGTTTTTAGCTTGTGGACCCTATAGAGGTCACAATTTTTATCCGATTTTGTTGAAACTTGAAATATAAGTTTATAACCCAAAGATTTCGGTTACACCCTAAGGACGACTGAGTTCGAATTTCGTGAAAATCGGCCCAAAATTGACAGACAAAATGGCCGCCGTTTGTTCTCAAATAGCTTAAAAATATGGTATATCAAGGTTGTGGACCCTATAGAGGTCACAATTTTTATCCGATTTTGTTGAAACTTGAAATGTAAGTTTATAACCCAAAGATTTTGGTTCCTTTCGATATTTGCGCATATCGAATTGTAATTTCCTGAATTATGGCCCTTGATTGTAGGAAAAATCACTTTCTTTTTAGCTTGTGCTCTATCCATCTCTCGAAAATGTGGGCGTATTCTGCCTGGCAGCCGCTGGTTGAATTTTAACGTGGGAAAATTATCCTTTGCCATCGTATTTTTAATCACCAATGAATAATACAGTAAAATGTTACATTTATTTCAATTGGGATTGAATATTGATATGTTTAGCTGCGTGTGTTGCTTGTTTTAGTTTATATAAATTAAAAGATTTGTAGGCCTGTACATTTTTGTGTATCCAATTAAATACACATTTTGCTCAAAGACTTTACGTAGTCTTCCAAACACTACCGGGAATGGAGGCGGAGCTGGAATCTCAGTAGTGTAAATATTTTTAGTTCTTGTAGTGTACATGAGAATAAATTGTGAACGGCGGCTTGAAGATTTGTCTTTAGATTAGATTTCGTATCATTTGCTGCCTCAGGGATTAGAATTGTTTGCCAGTAAATGATGCTGAAAATACCCACAAAGAGCGTTTTAGAGCGTCTAGTTTTCAAAAAATTTCGTCCCCCGAACCCCTCTTTACCAATAGTCGCCCGCGCATGGACTGTCCCCACCACTAATTTTGGTGATCTGCGCCCCTGCCCCCTATAGAGGACGACTGAGTTCAAATTTCATGAAAATTGGCCCAAAACTGACAGACAAAATGGCCGACCCTCGTTCTCAAATAGCTTAAAAATATGGTATATCAAGGTTGTGGACCCTATAGAGGTCACAATTTTTATCCGATTTTGTTGAAACTTGAAATGTTAGTTTATAACACAAAGATCTCGGTTCCTTTCGATATTCGCGCATATCGGACCGTAACTTCCTGAATTATGGCCCCTGATTTTACGAAAAATCACGTTTTTAGCTTGTGGACCCTATAGAGTTCATAATTTTTATCCGATTTAAAAAACCATATTATTATATCACCGTTACACCCTAAGGACGGCTCAGTTTGAATTTCGTGAAAATCGGCCCAAAATTGACAGACAAAATGGCCGCCGTTCGTTCTCAAAATGGCCGCCGTTCTTTCTCAAATAGCGAAAAAATATGGTATATCAAGGTTGTGGACCCTATAGAGGTCACAATTTTTATCCGATTTTGTTGAAACGTGATATGTAAGTTTATAACCCAAAGATCTTGGTTCCTTTCGATATTTGCGTATATCGAATTGTAATTTCCTGAATTATGGCCCTTGATTGTAGGAAAAATCACTTTTTCTTAGCTTGTTCTCTATCCATCTCTCGAAAATGTGGGCGTATCCTGCCTGGCAGCCGCTGGTAATCCGATTTTGTTGAAACTTGAAATGTAAGTTTATAATCCAAAGATCTTGGTTCCTTTCGATATTCGCGCATATCGAATTGTAATTTCCTGAATTATGACCCTTGATTGTAGGAAAAATCACTTTCTTCTTAGCGTGTTCTCTATCCATCTCTCGAAAATGTGGGCCTATCCTGCCTGGCAGCCGCTGGTTTAGCTTGTGGTCCCTGTAGAGGTCACAATTTTCATCAGATTGAAAAAAAAAGTTTTAAATATATCACCATTACACCCTTATGACGACTGAGTTCGAATTTCGTGAAAATGGTACCAAAACCCCTTGTGTGCAAATGGTGTAAATATATGGTTTATCAAGGTTGTGGACCCTCTAGAAATCACAATTTTGATCTGATTTTGATGAAACTTGAAATATATCTTTATAACCCAAAGACCTTGGTCCCTGTTGATATCCATGCATGTCAGATCGTAACTTCCTGAATTATGGCCCTTGATTGTACGAAAAATTACTTTTTGTTTAGCTTGTTCTCTATCCATCTCTTGCCTGTCAGCCGCTGGTTGATGACTGTTATGGCAAATAATACATGTATTTCAATAATTATTATGCCAAAAAGGATTAATGTGCTTTGGGGCTTCCGGGAAGTTAATTTATATCTTTTACATATACCTGTATTTCAATGATTGTAACATAATTACGGTTCTGATTGCTATAAAGAAAACTTTTACAGACATTTTAATACTTTTGTCTATTCACACTTTTATTATTAACACTGCAGACCACAATTATTATGGGATCTTTTTGAAACTTCAAAGGAAGATTTTCTTCTGATTTTGAACGATTTTCAATAGTTACTCCTGAGGTACCCCCTTGGATCATTTTGAAATCTTGATTATTTAGTTGGTTCAAAAGATTTTCAACGATTTCTAACAATTTAGGTCACATTTAGCTCATTATTTTCCTGATGACATTTGGTTTTTAATTTACTGTATGTATTACTTACTGTGGCTAGGTACATGTAGGGAAATATGTATCATAATAGATTTATTATGGAATCTGTTGTTGCTTTTGTTGCAGGCTCAGAAGTATTGAAAGTGGAGGAGGATAGTGATCAAGAACTGAGGTAAGCTTTGAACAGGTTATTTGGAATGGTGCCAAAAGATTTTGATATTAACAGGGAAAATAAATCAAGCATGGCCATAATTCAAGTGTTTCTGTTGAGCCTTAAGTTTTGAACCTGTTGTATTGTGTTACAATGTACCAATATGAAACGCCCAGACCTTGCAAGCATGATTTAAAGATACATTATGGGAGATTAGATAAAGAGCTGGCAGTTCTCACAATAATAGTTAAAAACTAGATACTGTAATGGGAATTTGCTGAAAATTTTAGTCAAATTGATCCACTAAGAACCAAGATTTTAGCAATTGAATTTTCCGCCTAGCCTCGATCATCATTACTAAAGTCGGTAGGATAAAAAACATAGTCTCGATTATCCATTTCATGATTAAATTATGAATGGAAGTCGAACAGCAAATCAGAACCTAATCCATTAAACATCGCAGGCTAGCGATGACATCGAGAGTTGATTATGGTCTGGATAAGTTAATTAATGTCTAATAATTTAGGCCTAAAGAAAGACCTGCAAGGGGCAGATTTAGCTCTTGTATAATGTATGTTTAAAGCAATAGGTCAATATTGTTACAACAATATCAAGTAATTACGTCCTAAGTTACTGTTGAGTTGTGCTGTCAGTGCTGAAGGGATTGTCATTATAAAAGTTTATCTTTAATTTATCTAATGAACTGCAATGCGACAACCTATATTAACTGTTGTTGGCATTCATATTTTTTATACGCCCACATTGAAATGTGGTCGTATATTGTCGTCCTTGTCCGTCCGTCCGGCGTCCACAAGCAATTGTGGACGCACTAGAGGCTAAAGTTAAATCCGATTGACTTTAAATTTATACACAGTGTTTAAGGTCATGAGATGAAGACGCCTATTGATTTTCAGCGATTTCCGATAATTAATGGCAGAGTTATGGCCCTTGATCACTTCAAAAAATCTTGTGGACGCTCTAGAGGTCAAAGTTAATATCCGATTGACTTTAAATTTATACAGTGTTTAAGGTCATGAGACGAAGAAGCCTATTGATTTTCAACGATTTCCGATATTTACTGCTCGAGTTATGGCTCTTGATCGCTTCAAAAAAATCTTGTGGACGCTCTAGAGGTCAAAGTTAATATCAGATTGACTTTAAATTTATACACAGTGTTTAAGGTCATTAGACGAAGAATCCTAGTGATTTTCAGCTATTTCCGATAATTTCTGCCAGAGTTATGGCCCTTGATCACTTCAAAAAATCTTGTGGACGCTCTAGAGGTCAAAGTTAATATCCGATTGACTTTAAATTTATACAGTGTTTAAGGTCATGAGACGAAGAAGCCTATTGACTTTCAACGATTTCCGATATTAACTGCCAGAGTTATGGCTCTTGATCGCTTCAAAAAAATCTTGTGGACGCTCTAGAGGTCAAAGTTAATATCAGATTGACTTTGAATTTATACACAGTGTTTAAGGTCATTAGACAAAGAATCCTAGTGATTTTCAGCTATTTCCGATAATTTCTGCCAGAGTTATGGCCCTTGATCACTTCAAAAAATCTTGTGGACGCTCTAGAGGTCAAAGCTAATATCCGATTAACTTTAAATTTATACACAGTGTTTAAGGTCATGTGACGAAGAAGCCTATTGATTTTCAACGATATTTACTGCCAGAGTTATGGCTCTTGATCACTTCAAAAAAATCTTGTGGACGCTCTAGAGGTCAAAGTTAATATCAGATTGACTTTAAATTTATACACAGTGTTTAAGGTCATTAGACGAAGAATCCTATTGATTTTCAGCTATTTCCGATAATTTCTGCCAGAGTTATGGCCCTTGATCACTTCAAAAAATCTTGTGGACACTCTAGAGGTCAAAGCTAATATCCGATTAACTTTAAATTTATACACAGTGTTTAAGGTCATGAGACGAAGAAGCTTATTGATTTTCAACGATAATTACTGCCAAAGTTATGGCCCTTGATCACTTTGAAAAATCTTGTGACGTTCTAGAGCCACTCGAGGCTAAAGTTATCATCCGATTAGGTAATTATTTCCATTAAAAGTATGGTAAAATTACTAGAAAAATACTGGATTCTCTGAAAAACACCAATGGGACGCGCACGTGACAAAAATGTGAGGATAGTCTGCCCCCTCGAGTGATGTAAGGATGTGGAAAAATAGATAAATTAGTTTGAATATGTTTTTTGTTCAAATATATCATCAGATCACACTGTTTGCACGTGGGAATGCATCTTTTTCATTAAGGTCCTTGGTTCTCTTTTTAATCGCACACCAACAAAAACCAAAGCAACATATTGAAATAAAATTATACAATGTGTTAGTCCCAAAATGATCAAGTTTGAGTATTTGTTGAGTGGACATTCAACTCCATTTCCCTCTTTTTAATATAATTATAATATTTAATACTTTTCTATAGGTTTGATTCACAAGATGATAATATTGACTATACAATAGTTGAAATGGGTACAAAAAAAGGTAGATCAATGCTTGTTGATAGTATCGGATATAGTTATAGTGTTAGGGTGAGTCTACATTTTAATATAGAATATAATGTGAATTACTAAGTCAAGTCAGAATGTGAATTTTAAATACCATTTAATTGAAAATGTAAAATTGGTCGAAGCTGAAAGGAACCGCCCTATATTTCAATATGGAAATTAAGGAGAAAAATGTAAAGAAAAGTCAATAGTTTCATTCTGAAAGTTTTGCATTATAAATGTTCTTCATTCATAATGTGTACATGAATTTTATTTTTAATTTTCAGAGAAGAACAGATAAATCTATTCAATGGACGTGTACAATACGAAATAAGTCTATAAAATGTGCTGCATCAGTTGTACAGATAGGAGAATCATTTACGCCGGGACCCAATCCTCATACTCATGAACCCAAACCAGGACTGTTAACTTCTACTTTAATCACTGCTGAGGTAATGCATATCCTTAGACTAAATTTCCTCTTGATCAATATTTCAGTATGAATTTGAAAAGAAAAATACATCTTTGATCTAGAATGAGAGCATTGGTGAAAATAACACTGGACAATATAACTTTGAACATAATGCCCAAAATTAATTTGAGTAGAGACCTCTGTGTTAAATTTTATGTGAGCTAAAATGCACGACTTCGATCTCAGATGCAGAGAGTGTGATGGCATTTTTTGAAATCAAAATCACTGTACATGTAATACATTTCTATATTCTGATGTGAATACAATGTTATCCTGTGTATTTCATCTGAAGAAAGCTTTTAATTGAATATCTTCATTTTTCAGGCAAGAGCTCAAGCTAACAATGATTTCTTTACACCAACTAATGAAGTAGTAGAAAGAGCTATGACGGTCAAAGGGGGAGAAGATGACTCATTTTTACCGAAACAGTGTAATTTAAAAAGAATGATAAACAGATATAGACAATTAAAACGCGTTTCTTTATTTCCAGTGAATTCTTCGTGATTACTGTTGTGCTTTATAACACATAAAACAAACTGGTACATCAAACAGAGCAGAGTGAATATGTTTTGTGCTAATGAAGTCAAACAGATAATTTTGGAAACTTTTGTGTATCAACATGTATTACAATATTTCACTTATTGAGAAAAATATTAAAGGAGAAACCCTAATTTTTGTCAATTCTACAAATCAGATGAAAGTTTATGTGTTCCCTAGAAACAGTTGTTGTTATTTGTATTTTAGAGGAGAGCCGAAAAAAGTTCCCCTTAATTAACAAATTAGAAAAAATGGTCCCCTAAAAAAGCTCTCCCAGTTTTGATAAGAAAAGTGATTTAGAAATTAAGGAGAGTGAACTGAAATTAAGGAGAGTGATTAGTTGTGTGTATGGGAAATGGTTCTGAAGATCAATAACTGCATGTTAGGGGTTCATTCCTGGATTCATAAATGATAATAAACCCCCCATGACTTTGTAAAGGAGAGTGATTTTCAATTTTAAGGAGTGGGAGAAAAAGCTCCCCCCCCCCCCGGTCGACATTCAGGTGAGCGGCTGGCACTTGAGAGCGATCACTCGCCGTAAAAACAAAGACTGCTAGAAAAAAGAAAACCTTGTCTACGATATATGATCAAAAATATTGAAAAAGGCTAAAAATATTTTAAAGAATGTAGTTTGCTTTATTTGTGAAATCAAAACTTTTATCTTTCGTGTTATGACTATGTCATTAAAAAGGTATTTTAGCCTATTATAACATTTTTATACTCCCATATTGCGTATATTGTCGTCGTCCCCGTCCTTCTGTTCGGCATCCACAATTGCTTGTGGACGCTCTAGAGGCTAAAGTTAATATCCGATTGACTTTAAATTTATACACAGTGTTTAAGGTCATGAGATAAAGAAGCCTATTGATTTTCAGCGATTTCCGATAATTACTGCCTAAGGTTGCAGCGATACCCCGGGGATGCCGCATTATCGCGATTATTTTTTTTCAAGTGATATCGTATCGGCCAAAGTTGAATAATCGCAATCCCCGGTATTTTAGGATTTTTTTGGGCGGAGGTCGGTGCAATAAATCCAAAGTTCATTTTCACCGGTGCGGGGGCCGGATCGAATTCGAAATAATAGTTTAATTACTACTTGTAAAATTATACAATAAAAATCGGTGAGAGAAAGTTCCCGAAACACATTTTGTAAACAAAGCCGCACGCGACATCGGTGTACCGTAGCAACGGTGCGGCGAATCCCCGGTTAACAAGACTGAAAATATTATGTTTATTTCAATGTTAAGTTAGTACTGTACGTCTGGTTGTTTAACCCGCCAAAACAAAGCAACCAAGTAACTCGACTTAGTCATCCAGCCGCTTTTTTCAAGTTATGAATCCGCACTCAGGTTCATCGATATGATTTTTTAAAACATACTTTGGGTGGTTTTTAATATTTTAGAAGTAATTAGAACATATATTTAAAACCATACGACTAAACTTTAATTAATGAGATATTTACAAACTAATAAATTTGTATATTTTTTATTGTTGAAAAACATACACTAACACAGCGGTTATACCATATTCAAGACTGGTCAATCGAGTCGGTGGTTTTTCCATTTCTCGTCTTTTACTCGGTCACAGTGCGTCGGCTGCTACAGAATAGAATTTAAACTGTAATTAATGATTAAAATGTCGAACGTCCAAAAAACACCTACCGATGCTATTAGACAATAGGCCTACAACAAGTGACTGCTTATAATGATCTTGATCAAGTTGATGTCGTTGATTTGTCGGCAAAGGCAAACACATCGTCTGTTGTGTGGAATTATTTTCATTTGGGATAAAGCCAAACGATGTTGGTGGTGAGAAAAATATCATGATAAAGAGAATTATCGTGATAAAATTGATAATCGTAGACTTTTATTTATCGCGATAATTCCAAAAGCAGTTATCATGATTAATGGCGATATCAGAATTTGATATCGTTGCAACCTTATTACTGCCACAGATATGGCCCTTGATCACTTCAAAAAAATCCTGTGGATCCTCCTAAGGCTAAAGTTAATATCCGATTGATATTAGATTTATACACAGTGTTAAAGGTCATGAAACGAAGAAGCCTATTGATTTTCAGCAATTTCCGATAATTACTGCCAGAGTTATGGCCCTTGATCATTTAAAAAATCTTGTGGGCACTCTAGAGGCCAAAGTTAATATCCAATTGAAGTTAAATTTATACACAGTGTTTAAGGTCATGAGACAAGAATCATATTGATCTTCAGCAATTTCCGATAATTACTGCCAGAGTTATGGCCCTTGATCACTTTAATATCCGTTTGAAGTACACAGTGTTTAAGGTCATGCGACGAAGAAGCCTATTGATTTTCAGCGATTTCCGATAATTACTGCTAGAGTTATGGAACTTGATCACTTTAAAAAATCTTGTGGATGCTCTAGAGGCTAAAGTTAATATCCGATTGACTTTAAATTTATACACAGTGTTTAAGGTCATGAGACGGAGAAGCCTATTGATTTTCAGCGTTTTCCGATAATAAATGCCAGAGTTATGGCCCTTGATCACTTCCAAAAATCTTGTGGACGCTCTTAGAGGCCAAAGTTAATATCCGATTGACATTAAATTTATACACAGTGTTTAAGGTCATGAGATGAAGAAGTCAATTGATTTTCAGCGATTTCCATAATTACTGCAAGATTTATGGCCCTTGATCACTTTAAAAAATCTTGTGGACACTCTAGAAGCCAAAGTTAATATCCGATTGACGTTAAATTTATACAGTGTTTAAGGTCATGAGACGAAGAAGCCTATTGATTACTGCCAGAGTTATGGCCCTTGATCACTTCATAATATCTTGTGGACGCTCTAGAGGCTAAAGTTATCATCTGATTGACTTCAGATTGATAATTGATACACAGAGTTTAAGGTCTTGAGACGAACAAGTATATTGATTTTCAATGAATTTCGATAACTTGAACAGCTAAATCCATGATATTAAATGTTTCGTATACTTAACGTTAGCATAGGGCAGAACTTTATAAAAACCAAACAAATTCTAATGATTTTCTGATTATTACTTAATGGGTTGTTACTCTTAATCAGATTTTAGTGTACTATAAATGTTTCATTACCGAAAAAAAGTAAAAATATGCGACAACTCTTGCTGACTGCCTGGACGAATTAGCTGCTGTGGACGTATGTTTTGTTGCCTGGCAACCTATCTTTGTCCATGTCGATAATGCTTGCTCATTTTGCTATTACGGGTCACATATGTGAGACAATGAATGCCATTGAATTTCAGCAGTCACTTAATAGAATGTTTTGAGTTCTCTTGTGACAAAAGTAAGTTTAGAATGGACTAAGCAGGCCTAAACGACTGTTCAATTTTTTTTTAGAAATTGAATATGAATCACTTTTATCTTTATATACACACATATTACATTAATATGCTCTCAGACCTATTTTCGCCTATGTTAATAAAGGTACCAAGGAATAAAGCCATCCGGATCTCTGGGAGCAAAGTGGGACAAATGCCCTAGTTACCCACATTTGGGGAGGGGGGGGGCACAAGATCAAAAATTCCATTGAATGACCAAGAGATTCTCAGGCCCGGCGGAGTGGGGGGGGGGGCTAGTGGGGGCTACCACAAGTACTCCTTTCTCCAGGTTATTGAATGCAAGTAACTATTTGATTAAAAACAAAGAGACCTGATTTTAACATAGACGTGAGACTTCTGGAACGTAGACTTTTAGAAGAAGAAAACCCTGCTACTGATCCTTGGGTTAAGAGACTCAACAGTCTATCTTTCTTTCAAGTCCATCTCACGTCCGTTGTATCTATGACAGATAAGGTAATTAGAAAAACAAGTTTTTCTTATACTCTTTCCTTGTGTCCCTTATGCATCAAATAATTCACTCCTATCAGTTATGAACAGTTCAAACAAGTGGTTGCCATGCAAGATACGCCCACATTTTGCAAGAAATAGATGAGAAAGAGGTAAAATCAATAGGGCTCATCCTCACATTCAAGATCTTTTGATCCTTAATATATTTGTCAAGTTACACCAGAATGGGACAACAATGGTAGCCTTTCTGGAGGGCCTACAAAATCCATACATATTTCAAATGTTGTGTGAAGGGCCGGTCGGTCAAAAAATGAAAAAATTAATTTTGTCCAATTCGTCTAAAAACCCTTTTTCTGCTGAACATTATATAGGGGGGGGGGGGGTGTACTGGACTGGCCATGGAGCGATGATGATCATGTTGTATATATTCCTACTTATTCAATATTCCTAACTGGTTAATCAAATGGTCAAAATTTTCTCAACTAGTCCCATTTTTTAACCAGTTAAATTCTCTTGACTCTTGACGATACAATGATAATACGTTAATTAATAATATGACGATATGATAATTTCATAGGTTGATGGTTATAAATTACTTGCAGGCCGGGGTTTTGGCCTAAATTAATCGATTTATGAGATATATTATTTGACAGAGATTATAATCAGATATGCCACTAAATCGCATATTTGGGGTTCATTTTTCAAAATTTTCCCGTGTTAATCTACCCCCCCCACCCATTTTTAGTTGAGAACAAGACTAGAGTTCCATTGAATGACCGAGAGATTCTAGTTTAGATCTTAAAATATGAATATGAAGTAATGATGGTCAACTCTGGCTCCATCTTGGCTGTGGCATTCGATGAGGACTTTATTTACACCATAGATAATATGGTATTATCTATGTTTACAACAAATCAAATCTTTGTGTCGCACTGGACAATATATGATGCTTTTTTCATAATTCAGTCCGCCCCCCCCCCCCCCCCATTGACTTGTCCTGGGTAGCCTACCTTAATAATGACGAGGAGTAGGAGGTAAACAATTGTCTACTAGTTTGGAATTACCATTAGGCTACATACATGGTCAACACCATTCTAGATGTTGGACTCGATCTTTCTAGTTTCAAAGGTTACAATCTTCGGAATGTTAAAAAAAATAGGCCTAATCAGGCTAATAGTATTATGTCCAAGAAATCGCAAAGATTTTTATTTGCATATTAGGCTACGTCCATTAAGAACATTATACAAAACATACGCATACATCAATACATGTACAAGAGAAAAGAATTACCGTACTATACTACAAGAGAAAAGAATTACCGCAGGCTACTATTAAATACATGCAGTTGTCTCCCATCGATGATAAGTCGGACCGGAAGTGGTGTTGAGTGCTAAAGAAAGAAGATTTTATTTGCATTTTTTTTTTCATAATTTAGGTTTGTTTATTACTAACTAACATACCATTTCTGTCGCCCGTAAGTAGCCAGTTGAACAGTAGAAGAAAGTAGATTTTGCACAGTTTGGTAATTAATATTTTAACAGGTTTAAATGTCAGTTCTGTGACCTGTCAACTTCCTAAAAAAAGAATTAAAATGAAAACCATGGCCCTATCAGTGATTTTCAAGGAGGTTAACGTCATTAACAAAGTACAAAACCATTGACCCACTACCGCCCACTAATAAACCAATACTAGCATGGTGAAAAAATGTCAGGGTAGATCTACTCCAATTTATAAGCCTTTTAATAGTTTCTTACGGAATGGACAAAGTCTTTGACCATTCCTGTAAATCCTTAGTCTTACTTAGTTAATTCCTTTCGGAATGGACTCGAGCAGAAAAAGTCATCAGACCGTTACTGTCTGTCTTTATTAAGCTGCAATATGAAAATATGCTCTTTCAGAGTCCACCCCCACCTCTGTTTGAGGTTATTTTTTAGTCCCTATGCCTTCTAATTTTCACCATAACTTTTATTAATTGTTCACCATAACTTTTATTAATTGTTCACCAAAAGGAATTATTTTTCTCCACCTGACACAATAACAATTTATAAACAACAAGTGGAATTTTTCCAAAAGACAGCAGTCTGCGCATGCACAAGTCAAATGTATTTTGTTTATATTTTTGAATCTTGAAATTCTACTTTAAAATAGTGTTTGATCATTATAATTGTGTCAGATGTGAAAAAATGATTCCTTTTAAAGAAAACAGAAGAATTACAGTGAAAAATAGAAGGTAAGGACTCCAAAATAGCCTTAGAACAGAGGTGAGCTAGAGCATTATTTTCATATTACAGCTTAATAAGGACGGATAGGAATGGTCATAATGACCCAGTGGGCCTACTACCAAAAAATGACAATAATAACACACCAGTAGGCATCCAACTATTTAGATTTAAAGGCTTTATTTTTTTTAAATAAATTATTTATTGCACAATATTTGCTATTTTTCTGTGAATTAGTTTTTTGATATAAATGTGTTGAATACAATTTGCAGAACTTTTAATATGTTGAATGAAAAATTAATATTAATAGAATATGAACAAGTGCAAGGTTTTTGATAAATAAATATTGTTTTGTTTGTAGTTTTCAAACTTTGTGAAATAGCAGCATAATTCTTAGCCTAACTCAAGGCAGAGAATGAAAATCGGGACAAGTTCCCAATTTGCTTAGCTGTGGTACCCCCATAGCGAAAACTAATAAAAAATTAGTGCATACAATGATACATCCCCATAACCTAATAGAGTTATTCAAAAGCCCTCATTTAAGTTTATACAAAATTCAAAAGCCCTCATTGGTTTATAAAAAATTTTAAATATAAAAGTGAAAACAGTTAGGAGCCAAAAATCCATGCAAATATGCATAAATTAAGACATCAATTTTTCAGTCGAACATCTTTGCACATTTTGGGGGATAATCGACTCCAGTGTGAATGATTGACTCCAGTCCACTTGTGATGTCACATGTCTCCGGTTCCCACCGACTAGATATATAGAGGGCAACCGCACATCCTCAATCAAGTCTGAAGAGTTCGAAAAGAACAAAACTAGTAGTTTCCAGAGAGAAATCGGGGAAGGCTGTTAGCCTATTTACAAATTTTTTACTGTAGTTTTAAAGTATAAGCAAATTGAGATTTGCAGACTGTTGAAGCCAAAAAGAGAATTTTACAACACTTCTTGCTATACAAGTCTAAAGTGTTTGAGAGGTTTTCATAGATGTATGCATTACCAACTTGTGCTCAGCTAATTTAGCTATACAAATTCTTTGTTTTCAGAAATAGCAACTGATAAATCAGCATTGACTATACATACCTGTCATATACCTTGTTGTAACAAACTAGTGCAATGGATGAAGAGGCTGCAAATGTATTTATGACTAATCTTGTCAAAAATATTCAGATGTTGTGCCATGGTCATTTACCCTTCAGTGATAATGTAGAAGTTATAGGACATTTGTATTTGAACATCGACTGTGGAAAAAAACTAAATTATATTGTGAATGAGAAATACAGCAAGTTGAATCAAGCGACAACATTTACAAGTAACAGTTTTCATGCAGAACCCTCAAAAGACAAAAGCTCACATGCTAAAAACAGTAGTAATGCACCAGAATTACATGGAAATGTGAGAAAATTTAAAAGAGCAGCTAAATCATTAAGTGTTTCTTCTAGTCCATCAAAAGTGCGTAAAATTCGAGAAGAGTATAGAGATGACCCTGTTAATGATGTGAATGATTCTGTTGATAATTCTCTTGGTGTGACTTTTTCTATACAACGTAATGATAACGATCAAGAGAGAATACCAAGTATTAATAGTTCCAATGTTATAATAAAAAGTGAAACTAATCAACATACTTTTAAAACAGAAGGTAAAAAAAGATATTTTGTATTCAGACATTGAAATAAGGGGCAAAGTAATGAGCATAATGAGGAATCCTATCAAAATTCAAAAATATTTTGATCATAAATTAAAATTTTTATAGGCCCACATTGAAATGTGGTCGTATATTGTCGTCGCCACCGTCCGTCGGTCCGTCGTCCACAATTGCTTGTGGACGCTCTAGAGGCTAAAGTTAATATCCGGTTAACTTTAAATTTATACATAGTGTTTAAGGTCATGAGACAAAGAAGCCTATTGATTTTCAGCGATTTCCGATAATTACTGCTAGAGTTACGACCCTTGATCACTTTTAAAAATATTGTGGACACTCTAGAGGCTAAAATTAATATCCAATTGACTTTAAATTTATATACATTGTTTAAGGTCATGAGACGAAGAAGCGTATTGATTTTCAGCGATTTCCGATAATTACTGCCAGAGTAATGGCCCTTGATCACTTCAAATAATCTTGTGACGCTCTTTAAAGGCTAAAATTATCATCCGATTGACTTCAGATTGATACACAGAGTTTAAGGTCTTGAGACGAACAAGTATATTGATTTTCAATGAATTTTGATAACTTGAACAGCTAAATCCATGATATTAAATGTTTCGTATACTAAACGTTAGCATGGGGCAGAACTTGATAAATACCAAACAAATTCTAATGATTTTCTGATAGTTGTTACTCTTAATCAGATTTTAGTGTATTATAAATGTTTCATTACCGAAAAAAGTAAAAATATGCGACAACTCTTGTTTACTGCCTGGACGATTTAGCTGCTGTGGGCGTATGTTTCGTTGCCTGGCAACCTATCTTTAACTTTATTAAATCTTGTGAAAGTGGAAGGGTGATTTAAAGGACAATACACACGGCCAATTTCATTTCACCGATAATTCCGTTGAAGATGAAAAGTTGTTATAAATATGAGACAGTGAGAGGATATCTGACAATACCGCCCCAAAAAATGGCTATTACCAGATAAACGAAAACGAACAAATTAGATAAGTCTGTGCATTACCATGTTTTTGTTAAGTAGTCTGCAGAATGAATAAAAACAAGGGAATGCACAGGCCTTTTCTATTTTTCTCGTTTTCTTTTACTAGTAACAGCCAATGCTTTTTTTTTTTTTAATTGTCAGATATCCTCTCGCCATCTCATATAACAACTTTTCATCTTCAACAGAATTATCAGTGAAAGGAAATTCAACCGTGTGTCAGTTAACGCTCGTTACTTCAGTCAGTTATATAGAATGATAACTTGTGTTATTCATTTTTGTCGTCACTTCCCATTTCTTCAAGTGTTTGTTACACATCTACCATAGCAATGATCTCTGTGTTAAAATTATATTTGGAATGTGTTTAACCAGTTCTGTCACATTTAATAAGGGTTGACACCAATATTGTCCTTTAAGTACACATTTAAAATACCAGTAATACAATTTTGAGTTATTTTTCCATTTATTATTTATTTATTTCAATACAGTTTCAATATTCCTAGTAGTGAACTCTATAAACCAGATGGACATTCAAGCTTTCGTTGCTTTGTGTATTTTATGGAATATGAATCATACAGTAGTGCTACTACAATATCAAATTAACAATTAGAAAAACTCTAATAATTTAGGCAGTTTTAAATGGATAAATGAAATGAAGATGAAGAATTGTTTAGCTGTAGTTAATATATTTTTTTTCAGTTGAAAATCCAACACCCACATTAGAAGGAGATCCAAGTGATGTTCAGTATGCATCTGGATCAACATCTAATCCGAATGACTCTTACTCTTCATTTTATTCACCCGCAGATGGAGGTTTGTGTTAAAATAAGCTTCCCCTCACAATTCTTTTCATTTATTAAATTTGTATCAGATATGTTTATATTTTTGGTAATTTATGTCATCATGAAAATTATTTATGCAATGAAGAATATGTTTTCTTATCATTCTGTCTTATTGCTATTGATGGATGGACATCATGTACTGGTATATTTTCTGAGCTGACTATTAAATAATCATTTTCTCTTCATTTTATGCTTCAATTAAAATGATAAAACAAACAAAAATTGCGTACAGCGCTAATTTTTCAAAATTTGGAGTTTTTGCAGAGTAAAAGACAGAGCCTAAAGAGGTTTGTTTATATTTATTTCTATCTTCATAGCTTTCTTCAAGATTAAAAAAAAAAATTATAGTTCTAAAAAGAAAAAAAAAAGATTGTACTATAAATTTCCATCTATCAACAGCACTGAAGAATCTTTTTTATAAACTTCTTAAGATGACAGTTTTTATAAGTTAATTGTAAAATTTTGTTAGACTATGAATATTATTAATTGATTAATTCTAATTGCCTAATAGTTAAATTTTAAACAAAATTTTTTCAGTAGAAAATGAAGAAAGTGAATCAGATGAGATTATGGGAGGAATACTTCAACATGAGTAAGAATTATTTATATTATTCTTAAATCAAAGCCACTGATCATCATTTGTAGGTTTTGGACAATATCTTATTTTTTATGAGCTTAATCTGCCTGTACTAAAATATACTCAAACTGATTCTTTAATTAAGAAAACGTGGAGTTGGATGGCGGAATGGTTAGCACGTGCGTGCTGTATCATAAAGTCTGTCATTGAGTCAACTGGCGTGGTTTCAATTCCCAGGTTGTACGTGACAAGAAGTAGGGTCGCCTGTCCCACCTCATGGGTTTTCTCTGGGTCCTCTGGTTTCCTCCCACTGCTAAAAACCCCTACGCGCATGCGAATTATGGAAATAAAATTGAAACACATGTTAGTCCCGAAATGACCTAGTTTGTGTTGAGTGGACGTTAAACCCCATTTCTCTCTCTCTCTCTCTTTAATTAAGAAAAACGAAATCAAACCGTAGATAATATATACCAACTTGGATTCAATTGGATTAACCATTGGTTGCCATCCAAATTACGCCCACTTTGTGCAAGAGATGGATAGAGAAAATGATATAAAAAATATGATTTTTCACACATTTAGGGGCCATAATCCAGTAAGTGATTGTCTGAAATGCAGGAGTATCGAAAGGAACTGAGATCTCTGGGATATAAACATAAATTTTAAGTTTCATCAAAATCAGACAAAAATTGTGACCTCTCGAGTTCTAGCGAGTTCACAACCTTAGTATTGCATAATTTTACACGATTTGCGTACAAGTAGCAACCATTTTGTTGGGCACTTTCGTTTTGATTTTCCCGAAATTCGAACTCAACCTTCATTATGGTGTAACAGTGGTATAAGTGCACATAAGATGGGCCTGGAAACTTTGGGATACGTGTAGCCAATGGTTACTATATCCACTTTACGGCAAGTTCACGCCTATCTGGTTGAAATTAATTCAGTTATCTTCACTCAAAGTCGTAAAAATAGACCTTCCGTAAAAACGACTTTGCCAATTATCGAAAACACTATTAATCCCCTCAGACGCCAGTGACGTCACAGTGACCGAATGCATATTCGGAATGTTTATTCCTTAATTACCTATATACAGCCGGCGTGTGTATTCTTTAACGCCTGAAGGATTCCTTAATCCCCCTAATTAAATAAAACAATTGACTACGGAATAATTTGTTTTGTAATTCATTTTAATTTAAGATCCAATTTAGAGTGCCTACAACTTTTAAACTTTGAAGTCTTGAACTCTTAATTAATTTTTTACAATATGGAACTTATTGGACGAACACTTTTAATATGTAAATAATATACGGGTCCAGCTATGTGGTTTTTACTGCGAGCACTTAGCTTTTCCACATAAAGTGTAGTGTCGTTAATATCTGTCATTAATTAATCAATCCGACTATAAAAGTTATGCAGGCATGGGTCATAAATTAATTAACAAGTTGGTGTTAGCAGTGAGTGTTAGTGGGATTAAGAATGTTGATTAGGTAATTATCTTTTTTTACGCCGGCCAGATCAAAGACATCACTGTAAGTGGAACGTTTGCGTAATACCTCACGAACGAACTAATGGTAGAATCATACACACACACATTAATTGTATAAAATAATTAAGTTTTACTAATAAGTTGTTTAAAATTACTATATACCCAATAATTATTGCTCACCGGTGTTTTTATAATCAAGTAGCCTCGTATTATTTGTTGATTGGCGTTTAAACAACATTTAGTTGATGGATGGATTAACGTTTTTGATACGATTAGGTAATAATGTCTAACATCGGTTATCAACTTTATAATAAAAGTATTTTACAATTGCATAGACAGTTTAATCACTCACCAAACGGCACCAGGAACTCCACGAATGATCCCATGCAATTTTCGCGGCGAAGTTTAACCTCATTTACTACACCCGTAGTACATGGAACGGTACATGATAATAAGATACCAAGCGTTGATTGGCAGAGAAATGAGTGCGATCTATTGTACATGTTATGCATAGTCATCGGAAAATTCCATATTCAGTGTAGTTGTTCTTTATGTATAGAAATGGTTATTATAATTATATATAGCTAAGAATGAATATATCGACAAATGACTGGCACCATTTGTATTTCATTTGTATTTGTACTTAAGTTTGGGATATCAAGTATTACGGTGTTATCCAAATTACCGTTAAATGCGCTAATTTCTTGAGTCATCTTCATTTGACACGTGGCCTATTTAAACAAAGGCAGCTTAAATTGATCTACGGCATGATACAGCATTTTAAATTCACTCGAAAATATTCCAATCACAAATGTCTAATCTATAACAATGTAAGACAATAATTCGGTGATTATGATTAGGCCAGTCACGTGGTAATTGGACTGTCAATAGACGCTTGTCCAGTTGCCGTGTGTATTGATAGTGCTATATTGTACAGACAGTGAGATATTGTATAGATAATGTATATCATATGTGTAGTGCCTGTGACGTCACCAGCCAATCAACCGGATTAAGGTCGTAATTGAAAAATCGAAAAGCGTTTTGGCGTATCGGATACTTAAATGTTAACAGCGGACTTAATTTTAATCAGATTGGTGTGAACTTGCCGTGAAGTTGATATAGTACCCATGGGTTATACATACATGCAATTTAGATTTTTGATCTTACGTGGTCTTTAAACGTTTTTTATACGCCCACATTTTCATGTGGACGTATATTGTCGTCGCCCCTGTCCGTCCGTCCACAATTGTTTGTGGACACTCTACAGGTCACAATTCTTATCCGATTTTGACGAAACTTGAAATATAGGTTTATCGCCAAAAGATCTTGGCTGCTTTTGATATTGGCATGAATCGGATTGAAACTTCATGGATTATGGCCCCTGTTTGTACGAAAAATCACGTTTTTAGCTTGTGAACCCTATAGAGGTCACAATTTTTATCCGATTTAAAAAAACGTATTATGATATCACTGTTACACCCTAAGGACGACCGAGTTTGAATTTCGTGAAAATTGACCCAAAATTGACAGACAAAATGGGCGCCGTTCGTTCTCAAATAGCGTAAAAATATGGTATATCAAGGCTGTGGACCCTATATAGGTCACAATTTTTATCCAGTTTTGTTGAAACTTGAAATGTAAGTTTCGATATTCGCGTATATCGGACTGTAACTTCCTGAATTATGGCCCCTGATTGTATCTGTTATGACTCGTCACTACAATCAGTTATATAGAAGGATAACTCAGATTTTCCTTTCGAGTTTGTCACTTCCCTTTCTTGAAATCTTCATAACGCATCTATTGTAGCAATGATCTCAGTGTTAAAATTATATTTGGAACATGTTAAACCAGTTCTATCACATATGTGATAATGACTGACACCAATATTGTCTTCTTTGATTGGCATTTATTAATTGAACTGGTTATGTAGACTTTTAATGGAAAATATCCAGACTTATGTCTTTCTAATGTAAACTATTTTTTCAAAAAATGACTGTAAATTATGATGTCTATCTGTGGAGAGTGTAAATTGTAGTTGATTTATTCTGATCTATTTATTTTAATGATTATCTCAAAATTTTACCATTTTTGATGAACAGATATAAAGATGAAGATATTGAATATACAATTATTGAAATGGGAACACAACAAGGTAGACCCATGTTAGTTGATAGTATCGGATATTGTTACACCATGAGGGTAATACATATTTATTTTTCATCTCAGTTAATTTGGTCATGTAAAGTAGTCAAAATGTTCAAGTGTGGCTTAATGGTCGGGTGCATAAAAGTACTTAAAATAGAGACGCTATACTGCACGTGGATCTCAATGAAATCGTCGCAGGAGTCAAATATTTCATCTAGTATAAAATAATGTATGATTGGCACCTTGCTCCTACATTATAATGGTAAATACCGGTAGTGGTCTCAAATGTTGGTTTAATATTCAATCTCACAAAAATACTAGTGATGAGCCAGTTACAACTTTGCTATCAGACAATAAATCCATTTAGGTATCTGTCAATGATCCTTTAAAATACAGATAAATCAAGTACATTGGTAATATTGTTAGCTTTTATACTCTACAGTCCATGACAACCAAGATATCTTTTCAGACTATATACAATAATTTCATTGGACTCACACTGTTAAAGGTATTTGTATCTAAATTAACCACATGCCCTTGATTAAAAGATGGTAAAGTGTGTGATTCTTGCGAAACTGTTCAGTTCATTTCCATGTATGGATAACCATTAAAAACCAAATCATTTTGATACACAAGCTTATGTACTATTTATGCCACATTTGGTATAATAATATAGTAGGAAATTCAACAAATAACAACATCAAAGTATTTCATAAATTTAATTGTTAGGTAAATAGGAACTGAGATCAGAATTCCAGGTGGGGTGGTCTATCCTAACATAATAACATGGTGCTTGTACAAGTATGAACTTATAGTTTAATACCAAATTTCTCAGAAGCTACAGATATCTTACAAGCTTAATATAGTTCTCTACATGAAAATTGTCAATATGAATCAGGATTGTGTGAATATTTTGGCATATATGGGATTTTACAAATAATGGTCGATTTCATTTAAAATTAAAATACATGTTTCTGAAGTAAAATATCAGTGATCCGTGCATACCAATAATATGTATACAAATTTAAGTTACTGCATAAATAACCCCTCAGAATAATGAAATAATCAACAGTGGTTGTGTTACCGTTGATATCAAAAGAATGGTGTAATTATCTAATATTTAAACCAATGTGCTACAGTGCATTTACTTCTTTGTTGAACTGGCTAGAAGCCACCCAATCATAATATTAGAAATAAGAATACGGATGATCACATAAATTTCAATACGTATTTATATCACACACCCTGACCCCACACTCCGCTGGGGTATTATTAACTGGATACAGAATAGGTTTTTTAATTTTTCGACTTACTGATGATCTACAGTACAGTATTTCTGCCAAATATATTATCATTTTTAGATATTGGTTTTGTGCTTGTTGTGATTATATACTCTTCAAAAAAAGTAGGGGATATTCAGAAACAATACAAAACTGCGGAAATGCACTGCTGTTTTTATTAGAGGTAACCATTGTATATTAATAACAGGCCAATTGCCTACACATGAACATAAACATTTCATATGGGCGGCTTATCTGACGGCCCCATTTCACTCGCAAAGAGATACACCGTCAAAAGTGAAAATGGACGTTTTTGATTTTTGTCTTAATAATGAGTAATTGCTCCACCAATCCTCAGACATTCAGCAATTCGTCATGGCATACTCCTAATCAACCGTCCTATCATGATTTGGGGCAATCTGACCCACTCCTCTTGCAGTGCCATGGCCAATTCTTGCAGTGTTGTCCGTTGACGTTGACATCGATGAACATGTCTCACGATCAAATTAAACGTAACACACTAAAGCAAAGATACGCTAAACAGTAAATCTTATGAAAGAACCGATAGGAAAGCAAACATGAATAGATAAACCAGCACGCGGCAGTTTTCGTCAACCCTTCCTTGAAGAGTAAAATTTGACAATGAATCCCTCCCACGTGTATGACACTATTGCATGTGCAGCTCAGTGGTTCTGTTGGGGCGATAAATTCTTCATCTGTGAACATACTCTCAAAGCATGTCAAGTGTCCATGACTATTTATCATATCACAACCGGCATAGGTATTTGCATTTCAATATCCCCTACTTTTTTTGAAGAGTATATAACATTTGCCATTTTGGGTGATATGTTCAGTGTATAATCATGGCATAAACTAGAAAATAAAACCCCACAAAATAAAAGATAAAACATTATTTTGCAAATAACTTTTTACAGAAAAAAACAGATTTATGTGTTAGATGGTGGTGTTCTTTAAGAAATAGACATGGAAGATGTCCTGGCTCAGTTGCACAAAGAGGGGAAAGTTTTAAACGAGGATCAATAAAACATACACATGATCCTAAACCTGGTTTATTGACAGCAAAACTTGTTGTTGCAGAGGTATATATACTTTAATAATGTTAAATTTGTTTTTCTTGATCATTAAAGATTGATAGCTTTCAAAAATTACTTGCCTAATGATTCACAAATACCATAAACTTAATACCATAATAAAATATAAATAAAATAAATTTAAAAAAAATCTTTATTGAGACCAAGAAACAAATACACCAATAAAATATTTTGGTTGGGGATAGCGTTAATCATCAAGTTTGGGTATTTAAAATTATGTGTTGTGGAGACGATTTCGTTCTTTCTATCAACGTTGAAAATAAAACATATATATATATTCACCTTCTAGAATACCCAAACACTTTAGACAAACATCTTTAATTGTAAATACTTCTTCGGAAAACAAAACACTTTATTAATTATGGAGGGGAGGGGGGTGGATGGCCGATTGGTTAGCATGTGAGCGCTGTATTTTAAGGTCTGTCATTGAGTCAACTCACATGGTTTCGATTCCCCGCTTGTACGTGACCAGAAATTGCGTCGCCTGTCCAACCTGGTGGGTTTTCTCCGGGTCCTCCAGTTTCCTTCCACTGCTAAAGACCCCTACGCGCAAGGGAAATATTGAAATAAATTGAATCATGTGTTAGTCCCAAAATAACCTAGTTTGAGGCAAGTGGTTGTGAAACACATTTCTCTCTCTCTCTTATTAATTTTGAACGATTTACAAGCCAGGATATGTATTCAGTCTACTAGACATAAAGGCTTATGTATTAGGATGTCCATGAGACTCAATTTATTACATCACCTACTTACCATAGCAACAATGAAATCCTACCATAGATCAAATAGATGCGTGAAATAACCAAAGCCTAAACTTAATAAACATATAATAATTTGAAAATACACACCAAATAAGTCTTGAATTAAACATGTCTACTAATTAACTAATTGTTGATAAAGCTAAAATGATCTTCCTTTGACATGGCCTCTAAATTCTAGAACACAATAGATTTTACTAGATAAGCTGTAATTAACAAAAACTGACATAGCTGATATGTGTAGTCCAAATATACATGTTGAATTATTAACAAATATTCTTGTGTTCATATAGCATATTATTATTCAGCTTATATTATTCAGCTTATTTTTTATAGTAATATATTTGTTTTCAGGCAAGAGCTCAAGCTAATAATGATTTTGTAACTCCAATATCCGAAGTTGTTGAAAGAGCAATGTCTGTGAAGGGCACAGAGGATGAGTCCATTTTACCAAAACAAAGTAATTTAAAAAGAATGATTAACAGACATAGACAACAGAAACGACAAGAATTGTTTCATAATCACTAGCTGGCTGTGGTTTTTATTCAAAAACTATTATAATTGTCTTATTTTATGGTTCCTTGCTTAAATAATTCCACTCAAAAACTGTGTCATTATAATTTAAAGTGACAGATTATACATGTGCCTGGAAATTTTCATAAAAACATTTTATTATGTACATCAGCATTGTGGATAATTTTTTATTGATATAAATGTTATGTATATTGAAGAAAACTGGTTTGTATTACTTTCTATGATGCCTGATGTAGTGTTGTGTGCATGGCAGGATATCCTTACTCTTTTTTATTTAGAACATCCAGTACTCATTTATTTGGTTTGTGCACATAGCAAATTCCTCTCATGTAAATACTTGTCTTTAATCAGTTTAATAATATAACCGGATAATGTGTTGGAAGTAGTTGGAACTATCAAATTATAGTCCTTGAAAGCCAGTGGGCCCCCTAAAGACTTTCAAAATTCTTGTATGAAAAGGGGGGGTTGGATGACCGAATGGTAAGCACGTGCACACTGTATCATGAGGCCTGTCATTGAGTCAACTGGTGTTGTTTCGAATCCCCAGTTGTACATGACAAGGAGTAGGGTCGTTTGTCCAACCTCGTGGGTTTTCTCCGGGTCCTCTGGTTTCCTCCCACTGCTAAAGACCTCTACACGCAAGCGAGTTATTGAAATAAAAAATAAAAAATTAGAACTATACATTAGTCCTGAAATGACCTGGTTTGTTTCGAGTGGACGTTAAATCCCATTTCTCTCTCTCTCTTGTATAAAAAGAAATGTGAATCTAAGCAATAGAATAAAATCAAAGCAGTGGGAAGTATTTGTAAAATAAGAGTAAATTTAAAAGCTGCTGCATGGGTCAAAGTCAGTCTTACTTCATTACATATGTATCCTTAGGAAATAGAAAATTAGTCTCAAAATAAAGTATTGGGTTGGCAAGACATTACATGAACTCCTTTCTTTTCATTGCAATTCATCAATATGTTTGAAATGGATCTTTACTGCAATGTGAATTCTAAAAGGACCTAAAAGCCAAACAAAAATCAAATATGATCTGTAATCAACAGTACTCGTAACAAAAATACACATTAATCTAAAATTTATTCAGATAAATAAATTCTTTATGACAATTTGGAGCCATCTTATGAGTAGGGTTAAAGTTACAATTTCATATTTATAAGTTATATTTTTAAAATGTATTAAAATAAAGCCCTAAAATAGATGGTATCTATAAACAGTCCTACCTTGTTAAAGAATAATCCTATAATTCACTATTGCCAGTTGAGAAATTGGCAAGAATATCATTTTCAACTTCAAATTCCAACTTTTGAAGATAACCATTCTATGGTGGGGAATAGGAAAATAAGGGAGGTAATTGTGTTATTATTTCCGGTGTGAAGATTTTTAAGTGTGAGAAAGATAACCTATGATCGTATAATAGTGAGTTGACAACCTATTGAGCAAAGGACATAATTATGTTTTGACTTTCATAGAAAATATGAAATTGTAACTTTAAATAAAGTAATAATAACTCCCATGTGAGTTTTTATGCACCCACATTTAAAGGTTGTCATATAATGCCATCGTCCCAGTCTCTTTATATGTTATTCACATTAGTGAGTGAAATTTATAGGCAAAATTTCTGGTAATTACTTTTAGAGTTATTGTCCTTGGTTATATTGTAACTTTTTCTCAACCCTCCAATGATATTTTACATACTTTGCTTTTAGTTAACCATACGAATCATAATGTGACGAGCTTCATGATTAAGTACCGTATGATAACACTGTATACAGTACAATTGTATATGATATGTTGACTATTAAATTATACTATTCAAAAAAAGTAGGGGATATTTGATTTTGGGGGCATAATACTAAAATATGCAAATGACTACGAAAAAAGTCACTATAGAACCTAACAGAAGAAACATTTCCAGTTACATGTGACGCCCAAACGCACCAATAGCTACCGCATGGAATGCAGGTGATGCTTGGGATCATCATGGGGGTCCAACCCAAGATTTGCACGACTCTGACTTTGAATGTTACAGTCATTGTGGCATTGAATTCCAGGGTGGAAACATCAGTTTAATTGTTTTAGACCAGAAAACAAATTTTGATATGCGTCGGCTTACCCAAAATGAAAGGTTACGTGCCCTTGGCATGCTACAGATCGGCACAACACAGGCGGTTGTGGCGCGGATGATGAATGTTTCTCAGTCTGTCATAAGCAGGCTATGGTCCAGATACCGTGATACACAATCTGTACAGGACAGACCACGCTCAGGTCGACCAAGGGCGACAACTCAAGCCCAGGATCGATTTATCCGTACCTTGGCCTTGAGAAATCGTGTCATCACAGCAAATCAGATCAGCGCTCGTCTTCAAACAGACACTGGTGTGAGAGTGAGGGGCCAGACGATTCGGAATCAACTGCATAGGGGTCACCTTCGCGCCCGACGTCCTCGCGTGATCCCTTGTTTGAGAGATCATCACATTCAGGCAAGACGTCGTTGGTGTAGGGATCGTCAACACTGGGATAATCGACGCTGGAGCAATGTGATGTTTTCAGATGAGTCAAGGTTCACTGTTGATTTTTTGGACAGACGTAGGAGGGTGTGGCGTCGTCAAAACGAGCGCTTCCAAGACGTTAACGTCATCAGACATGATCGATTTGGGGGTGGTTCTGTTATGGTGTGGGGAGGCATCACTGTTGCTGGAAGAACGGCTTTACATGTTGTTGCAGGGCGTGTTACAGGCCAGTACTACCGGGACAACATCTTGGCAGTCCATGGCCGCCGTTTCATCTTCCAGGATGACAACGCAAGATGTCACAGGGCCAGGATCGTTACAGGTTACCTCCAACAACAGAACATCACCACATTACCTTGGCCAGCACTGAGTCCCGACCTCTCCCCCATCGAGCATGTCTGGGACATGCTTGGACAGAGGTTACGTCAACGTCAACAACGTCCTGCCAATGTCCAAGAACTTGCTGCTGCGTTGCAACAGGAATGGGACAATCTGGACCAAAATGACCTTAGACGTCTCATTAGGAGTATGCCACGTCGGATCAATGCTTGTTTGGCAAACAGAGGAGGATTTACCCGTTACTGACTTGGTTGTGATGCTGTGGTAACTTTGCTGTTTGACCCCGGGTATCATTTTACCCTTATAATGGTCAGTCTGTGCCTTACTTAGTCTAACGATCATTTGGAATAAATCGATGAATGTGAACTTCATTTCATTTTGTCATTTGTTTCTTCGTCAGTTTCATTAGGTGACTTTAATAACACTTAAAAATCAAATATCCCCTACTTTTTTTGAATAGTATATTAGCAAAATCCCAGGCATTTTTTAAGCCCAACTTATGTCACCCTTGTGATCCGATGTGATTGTTTGCAACTGGAAATGCTGACGGCTTATGTCGCCTATGCACATTTAGCTGCAAGTACATGTAACTACTTGCAACTGAAATCTTAGAGGGCTTATGTCGGCCGTGATTGTGTGCAACTGACCACGCTGCCACCAAACTACGGTCAAAGGAACCACATGACAGACATGTGATCAGTGCAAGATGGTGTTTAGCAATAATTTTTTTTTAAAACATGGTTCTGCTATTATCCTTTCTTTTAATACAAATGCACTTTTGTTGTCCAAAAGTTCTTCGATAAGGCCTTTGATAATGTCGTCAGCCATTTTTATGTACACAAATGATGTAATGGAGACCCCAAGGAAAACTATGAAATACACCGAATGCCTAAACATTCTCTCAAAACTAGTTGCATTGAGTTGCAAAACCGATTATGTTGCCACAACTAGTTGCAGCCGATGGCAAGAAAGTATAACATGCGCAACTAACTTCAACTGGCTGGCTCTTTCAGTTGCATCATATCGCAAACCGGCTTAAGTTGTCCTTTTTATGCAAATATCAGTTGCATCAAACCCAATTGCACACAGTATCCCTTGTGTGATACATTAAAACAACAAAAGTTTTATAAAGGGCTATATTTTAGTTAATATAAGGCGAAGGATTTTGAGTAAATTCCTGAAAATGTTTGTGAAACCAGGGCCTGAGGATTGTCTTTAACCATACATAGACTGTACTCAATAAGATGTATCCAAAATATGTAAATCGTATTTAAAATAGCAAACAAAATATTTTTTTTCGAATTGTAGTTAAAAACACTTATTTCATAATCTTTTGAAAAACAAAAAATATAAGTGAGACAGGAGTTTGTCATGTTTCATTGATTGAAATGTGTATTACACTCTGCAAATTTCACAAATACATAATAGTACTTTTAAAATTTCACGAACACATTATGGTACTTTCAAACTCCTTAGGAACAACTTTATCATATTTTTCAGAATTTGAAGACTTCCAGGCTGCTACAAATCAAACAATGCTTGCTGTATCTGGTTATACTGCTGAAGAAGTTTTATATTCTAAAGATCCTTCCATTCAACCATTACTTAGTAGTATCATTAAAGAAGCATCTATACAATGTGGAATATGGGAGCAAGTTCCATACCCTAAAGATATACCAACACATACAAGAGAGATGTTTTTTGATTTTGTTTTGTCTATAGCTCCCCAACTAGAATCTCACAGAGATGTTATTTGGAGTAAATTAAGCCATCGCCTTAGAGATAGAAGATTTAAACAAAAATTGAAAAAAGCACGTTTTTTTAAGTAACACCTGGTCTACACTATTTAACTATATACTGTACTATCAACTCGGACCATGACAATCTTCAACAGTAGTGTTTGGTGCCAATTTACTTGGAACCCTTCTATAAGTGTTTATTATGGAAATGTCAATTTTACAGTTACTTTAATTCAGCGCCAAATAAGCCCATAATAAATTAAACAGCCAGGCAATCCCACCCCATCAACATCCCCTTCTACATTCTGCATCATATCCATGCAAAACTACAACTTAATACAACAATGATTTTTTATTCATTATGAACATTGATTTTGTATTTGTATGCAGACCTAAAATATTCTTCAAAAAATACCTTGTAAGAAATTTTGTTTGGTAGCAAATATACTTTATCTTTAGTTTGAATTTCTTGTTATTGGTACATAAATAGACCTTGACCTCACAGTTGATTGCATAGTTGACTATGGTGGTTTTGTAGTTATCACACAGAACTAACAACCAGAATGTCCCACTCCCAGGTTAGAATCTTGTCACTTGCCCGTTATGGTGCCTTCTAGGCTGACAAGAAAAGTTGGATGGAACGAAAAACAGAGATTGTG